ACTGTGCCTTTACATCTGCTGTGGCTCCTTCTCAAGCAGAATATTTAAATAACCTACTTTTTAATTTTTCACATTTTATGGGGGAAAAAAAGAAATAAATTTTCATTTAGATAACCTTTACTGATAAATATTGTGATCAAAACCAAAATTGTTTTCTATGCACTCAGACTGTATTCAACTGTGAAATTAAATGAAATGATAAATAATTTCCTTATTTGTTATGTGAAATCAACTGTACCCTAAATGTAAATGAAAGCACATTCATTACAAAACAAACCAATGACTCACTTGCTGACTTGGCAATCTCTGGAAACTGCACATGCAAATTACAAAATGCATCTCCTTCACTCGAAGCAATTAGGCACCACTGTGCAATCCAAATTACAATCACTGCAGAGGGGTGTCTGGCTTCGTTTTGTTTTCTTTTGGGGTTTTGGGAGGATTTTGGTTTGTTTGGCTTTGGGGTTTGTTTTCTTTTTTAAGTACTGCCTAAACATTTTGGAAAGCCACAATCTGTCCATAAGGTCATAGGTCAAGGATTCCTTTACCTTAATTTCTGCTGGTTTGTAGTACCGGCGGCTCCTGTCCTCCAGCGCTGTTCTGTACCCATCCCTCAGAAACCTCTTAAACCCATATTTCCCTTTCAGTTTTCTAATAATTTTATCTAGTGTTTGACCAAACAAAACCTCATCATCCAAAGCAAATGCTGGGTAACTAAGACAGGGCAAAAGAGCTGCATCAGTGTTCTGTAGGAGGAGAGGGAGAAATAGGACATTACAAATTGAATTAGATCCCTGACGATTATTTGATGCACAAAGACTGTTTAACTTACTAAGTGAAATATAAGATAATGTTCCAAACTTATCTTCATCCAAATCATAGTACTGACATACTACAACAAGGTGCAAAATAAAACTTCTAAAGAGGCATCAGGATAAACTACGACCCAAATATCCAGATGGAGGATGTAAAAGAGAACTCACTTGACTAAGAATCTGACCTGTTTTACACTTGATAATGTGCAAACATCAGTGAAAACATTCTAAAACTCTGTGTTTCGTTGGGTTTTTTTAAAAATATATCCTCCAGGTTATTCCTGGAAGAAACACAAACATTTGGGTATCATATGCTCAAAAGAATCAAAAATGTTTTACAAATGTGTAGTGCTAAGTATCTATGATTAAATTATAATTTCTAAACAGCTTTTTCAGGAATAGCTTCAGGTGCTCCAACAAACAAGCTTATCTGATTCACAATTAAGAAGACAAGGGAATAATTCCAGGAGAAAATATGAGCAACCTTCTCAAGCACCATGTGCACCTACTGTAAGTTAAAATCACAAAAAAATTGCTAACCAGTGCATCACCAAGCTTGCAGAAACACAAGAGACTATTCTTTTCTGCTGACATATTCAAGGTATTCAACTGTTTAAAATAATATGTTTTTGCCAATATGACTGACATGAACCCATAAAAAGAAGACAAGGACACAAAGATTCCTTCTATGGGATAAGTAAGTTTTGAAATCAGCTTCTGCTGCAATATTTCAAGTCTCCAGCAAATAACAAACAGCAAGAATCATAAAAGACCATTTGACTATAAAAAACTAGCTGACAGTGCCTTTTATTTTAATTATCCAGCATTACAACTCTTCTATAATTCTTATCCACAATAAGTAAACTATTAATTTTGAAGATTATAACAGTCTGTTTCATGAACAAAAATGCTGTTATGTCCCAGAACATACAAAAAAGCAGAGTTCTATTAACACTCCTTTTAAATTACTGATTTTCTAAACCCAGATTCACCTTTGAGGGTAGTACTGAAATAGATCTTTTTTTAACTAATCTATACTTATGTCACTCAGATTTATTCACTGAGGAAATACATTTGTAACGGTAGCTTATGACAACAAGAAGTTGTCCATATTCAGCAATTTATGATAAGCCAACCTTAAAGGCTCTTTTTCTAGACAAAAGAAGGAATTAAAGCTAAAACAAAAAGTGTTTCAAAAATGCAGGCCCAGAGTGTATAGTAGAAACTAGCCAAAAGAAAAACAATCACCAAGACTCCAAAACCTCACTTCAGTTATTTCCAATTTTATGTTACAATTGTTTAGGAAGCTCCCACGATGCTACCATTTTAACTTATGTATTAACAAAATAAAGAACACCACTGTAATTCCACTTCAGAAGAACAACTACATCACAGTGACGATTTAGAAGCCAAAATTTAACACCTTCCCAGAAAATTCCCATCTTTATCAAACAGAACATAAGGGCCACCATGTAACTAAGAACTTGTATCCATTTATTTTCTCCACAGACTGTCAAGGAGAATTTTATTTAATTACTTACATGAGACCTTGACTCTCGGGGCAGCAGTGAACACAGAGTCTGCCTGTTACGATTATGGGCATCAAAATCCACAAATATAACAGACCAAGAGCAGCCCTGGAAACACAACATTACATTTGTTCAGTGGAAAGGGAAGAAAGTTTGCTTATTCTGGGGAAAACAACTGGTTCTGTGTTTTATTTGGGTTATGCTGTCATAGTCTACGAGCTGGTATTTTCAGTCAGAAAATATAACAACGTCAAGATGAAAATAACTTGGATGTTTAAACGTATTTAAGTATAGCCAAAATTTGATGATTTTATCTAACACTGATTATCAATTATATGATTCATTCAGGCTATTAACCCTTCCATTAATTCTTGAAAAATGAAAACTGTATTAAGGACAAAAAAAAAAAAAAAAAGAGTACCCGTCCTTCCCTGTGACTGCAGGAAATGTTCCAAATAGTGATGTTGAATATTTCATTACAAGTCAGTTAGAACACATATTCAGCATAGAGGTACTGCTTAGGTATTCAGCAGAGGTACTGCTTGGGAAAAGGGCTTCCATGCAAATAAAAATTGTCTGCTTTTCAGTTATTGTAAGGTTTGCATTATTAACATCTACTCCCTGCAAAATCTATTTCCTAATAACACTCCATAATTCTATACTACATCTGTCATCTTTCTGATATTTCCTGCAACACCCAGAAAAACTCCCACATCTGAGACACTGTTTAAACATAATCAACAGCATTTAGAATTATTACCAGCAGGCAACTTCTTGCAAACTCAATGCAGTTTGTTAATAAAGAGGTATCTTCACAGACATTCCAACTGACCCTGAGTCTCAGTATCACCCCACTGGAGGACACATTCAGTGCCAACTCGTTCCATTACGGTCAGAGACACTGGACCATGAGTCTTCATAAATCCACCAAATTTCTCCTAAAAAGCACTCAGTTCTTTGGTACACTGCTCTCCCAGGGAGACTGGTCCAGAACCCTCCCTTTCTAATTATTAAACACTTTCCATTTCCAATTAAGTGTCTCCAGAAGTAGTTGGCCACCTTTCTTTGGGTGTCAGTACTACCACCCACTGAGATGCCTTTCCAGAGGGTTTTTTCTGACTCACTCTTTAGCTGCACTCCAATTATACACAGTTATCACACAAATACTCAGTTTTTGCTTTACTAGGCTAAACAAAACATTTTTTTCACTGTCCCCATGGGAAATAATCTCTGTTCTCTTAATCATTCTAGCAAGATATATACTGAATAGTGCTAAGAATGTACACAAATAATCACATTTGCCTTGATGATTTGTTAATTTACTTTCTTGCTAATCCAGATTCTGATTATTCACAAATCTCCAAATTCATCTACAAACTCTGAACACAATTGCACATGTGTATGTGCATGTGCAGTTTCAAATTCTGTGCTACAGTGAAGAATTCTTTGGGGATTCAAAAACAGGCTAAACTCACAAGCATCTTGTCTTACAAATGAACTATTTTTCTCTTCTCCAAAGACGGTAAAGTTCTGGAGTAAGGACACCTTAGAAAGGTTTGATTTATTAAAAAAAAAAAAGATAAAATTGTTTTTAATATAGGATATATAGCTCATACCCAAACAAGTGATTACACTCTGACTGGGTCAGACTTTGAACATGTTTCTCTTGGCCCAAGCTGTCTGTCACCCCGGCAGTGATTTATGCAGGTTATTCTGGTGCAGTTGCAGGTGCAAACAAATCTCTCTTGAGGGGCTCAACAGGATTTCTCAAAGCTGCTGGAACACAGCTGGAGTTAAGCACAAAGGCAAACTCTGCCACAGACTGAAGGTCAAAATGGTTTCTGTTTATGCCAACTAAATATCTCGGAAATAAATTCTCAAAGCATAACTGGTCTTGCTTCAGCAATTTATTCATCCATTTCAGAATTTAGTAAAAAATAATTTGGGGAAAAAAAAAAAGCCAAACCAACAGCCGCATTTACTGATGCTTGAAATTGTTGGGAAGGTAAAGATTATAGATAAATGTTATTTCTGAAATACAATGCATGTATAATGTCGGATCACTATTGAAGATCCTTACTAGCTCCTAGTTCTTAACTGACATCGGCTTTTAAATGGATGACGTATCTTCCACTTGTACATTTTCTAAACCATTAATTTTGAAGAATATTCTTTTATTTTAGCTGCAGACTACAGTAGGTGTAACACCAAAAAGAAATATGCACATACAAAAGGAATACAAGTCAGATATAAAAATCTCAGAATAGTCTTGCTTTCCTAATTCATCCAAACCATGTGAAAGATTGGGAGAAGATTTTACAACTGTGCAACACACTGAAATTAAAAACCAGTAAAACAGTAGGATCATATAAAAGTAGTTTGTTTAAAGTCTTGATCAAAAACATAAGTGAAGCAGACAAAAGTAAGGTAATGTTTGTAGGTAGAGGTATACTCTGTTATCATCGAGAGATACAGCCCTGAAGGAAAAAAAAACGTTTTGGTAACAAAGTTCTTGTTCAGACTAAGTTGCAACCATTATAGAATTTTTTTTTTTTTTAAGGAAATAAAAAAAGTAATTCTGGATAGTAAGGGCATAGTGATTTTATCAGACAAATTCTCTACCTGAAACAGGAGCAGTCAATTTGCAAACTAACTTTTTCTAAAGCTGGAATCTAACAAAATGCCCAACCCACAGTCTAAGTCATTACTGCTAAAAAATAAAAGGAGAGAAAACAAACACATTTATTACCTGTTTTCCAAAGAGATTGAAGCCATTAATTGCTTCTAAAGCTGCTTTTGCCAGCCCCACCGAGCTGAGGAGAGAACAAAACAAAATCCCAGAGGTATCATAATTCAAGCCCAGGCTAAAATTTAACACATTTGACAGCTTTTAGAGCTTTGATCTTCTCTTGATTTGAATTTGGTGCTTAACCTTTATGTTAACAAAATGTTGACGCAGCAAATTTGGGGTTGTTTTGGCAGCAGGTTGCTTTTTTCCCTTTTTTCTCTTAAACACGACTCAGCATTTTTATTTGTCTTCAAATGTCAGAGACCATCTGCAAAAAAGTGCTTTTGCTCTCACCTTGCTACCAGACATCTGGCATTATGTATCTCAAGGTCTTGAAAGTAGTTTATTGACAGAGGATTTACTTCAGCACAATTTTTCAACCCAGCTCTCAAACATTAAAGTTTAAAAGACTGATTTCTACCTTTCCATATAATAAAAGAACTCATCAATCTGGATCCAGAATAGAAGGCTTTTCTGATGTCAACCATCTAGTGATACATCTTTTATTTCACTTACTCCACGACTAATATCTAAACAAAAGAAGACCTGGAAATACTATCAACAAGCTTTCAACTTTGCAAGTTCACATTTAAAGACATTATGCACTAAAATAATTAGATTATATAACTTTAAAAAATAAACTATATATTAATTTAATTACCAACTATGTAAATTATACAGTACAAATAAAAATAGACACTTCATAAAAGCCTTTTCCTTAAAAAAGTGTAGTTTTATACTTTCCTTGTGAGTACTTAAAAAACAGTAGCAAAGGAACATCCTTCTCTTTTTCTCAGTTTTAAAGAATACATAATTATATAGGCCAATTTCACTTATATCCATTCAACTGCAGTAAGGAGCTGAAGCATTAACAATACACATAAAACACCACATTTTTGGCACGTTGATGACAAAATTTCCAACATTTAAGGTCACAGGGCATCAGAAAGTAAAATATTAAATGAGCCAGTGTGGCAGGATAGTCCACCCTGAACAGAACTAAAATGCAATAAAGCACACTATGCAGGCCATCATGCAATGCAAGCTCAGCTGCTGGTGCCAGGTAACCTGTGGGACAAAGTGGTTTAATCATACCTCTAGAATTTCTTTATATTTAAACAGCTAACACAGTCTGAGGCTAAGATGGGATTCAGCCACAGCTAAACCCTTCCCTGAGAAGGAGTTTAAGAAGCAAGGGAGTCCCTTCTGCATCTCGAGACTCACCAGCGAGGCTTTGCTTTTGGAAACTTTATCTAAGCCTTCCACTCTCCCATGACAGCCAGTTCCCAACAGTGCTAGAGTTTAAAAACATAATATATAACACTCCCAGCTTTCTGACAGCTCTACTCAACACAAACAGTCAAGGTACCGAGAGGCCTTTGCACTTCCTGCTCAGTGGTGACACACAAGTGCAGGAACCAGAAACACTGTAGAGGTTCAGCTAATTAAACAAACACCTTTCACATTCTCTTAAACAATCTGGTAAAACAGATTCAAAGCACCCAGCAAAACAAGGTTTAGTGTAATTTTCCCTACATCATTCATGAAAGTAAAATGTTAAATTACACCTTTGTCTCCCCTGAAGTGCATTTCCTCTGACCAATGTACCTTGAGCTGTCCCTGCTTCAGTTGTACATGAAATACAACAGAGATTTTATTTCACTGACAACCCATGTCCTATCCCTACACATCTGTCCCATCACACAGAGTTTATAACACCGAGTTCTAAAAAATGCTCCGAAAATAATCACTAATATTCCCCACTTCTGTGTAAGAGGAGTTTTGACAATACTGACAAACAACTTCATCGTCCACCCACAAAGAGACTTAAAGCAAATTGTCAGGCACCAGCAAACAGGGACTGTGCTTTAACCTTTATTCTTCTATACTCCGTGAAGCATTTTGGGATCAAAGCAAACCTTACATTTCTGTAAATAAATTTTTTTGTTCTATTAATGTAAAATATGAAATTTCAAATGTTTACTGACTAATCCATATTTTAAATATGGGATCTCATTACTATTACACAGAAAATATTGAAAATAATGAAAAAAATTCAATGCAGTTACAGAATTCTGTTTTTTAAGTATTACATTTACCTTTGTTGGTTTTACAGCAGAAATACTTTAGATACTGATTTCACACTTTATCATTTATAAACCTCCATCTTCCTTTCTGAAACACTACCAGAAACAGTACTCATGGGATTCAGTGCTAATTGGTTCAACAAGAGAAAGCTGACCAGCTTAACCACGTCCTGCTCTGAGCAGTTGCCATCAAACAGTGGTGAAATCCCTCAGTTTTGTGTCTTCTGATGATAAAAGCTTTTAGTACTGGAGAATATCATGAACAAGTAAACTGAACTCAGAAGTACTGTGAATATAATTATTTCTCTGGCTTTGCTTCAAATACCTAACAAAAATGTAATTGTTCTAAAAACTGCTCCATTCCAATTATCACCTAGCAATTATCAACCAAACTGGGCTCAGAACAGAACTTTTTAGAGGCATTAAGGAGTATTACCAAATTGCATATACAGAAAATGAAATCAGAGAAATCCTGCACACTGCAATCTGTATCCCATGTTAAAACCTAATTCTTCTTCTCCCTTTCAAGTAACAGTTCTAATACCAACAGTCCTACATTTTCAGAGAAAGAAGTTATGACAAAAGGTAAAGAAGTAATAAATGTTCTAGAATATTTAAATGTTCAACTTGTATTCAGATAATGTAAAACTACTCAATCTGCCTAAAAAATAGGCAAAATTCAAGACATATGTATTCCCTCCTTGAAATCATCTGTATTTTACATGGTCATTATTCTACAATAACAATAATATTTACCATAATTGATAAGCGTTTTTCTACCCCTAGTTATTCAAAGCCCCTGGACACTTCTCACGCAAATTTTACTTGCAAGTGACCATATAAATGTCTCAACATTATCAAGCATTCCCTTCACTAAACACACACTTACTACTTAAGATTACCTAAAGTTTCATGGGTAAATGAGAGGAGGAAGTTACTTTAAAAGAAAAGTCTGAGAAGAGTCTTCATACCAAGTATGTCTTCAAAAGAGTGAACAATCAAACAACACAGCACACTTCAGGATTATGATCACACTTCAGACACTTGTTTCATTTCTACTGATTAATGCCCTCCTGTTGGGTAAATTACAAGAGAGGATTTATAATAAACATTATGCTCGTGTCTTTGTAGAGAAAACACATTCTTCATCCTCTATAATTTAGTAACAGAAGAAATAGGCTGTTTTAACAGTATGAATTAATGGCAAAACGTATTTTAATAAATGTTCCTTCCTCCACTCAGCAACCCACCATAAACATACTGTGTTAACATGTGGGACTCAATGCCCAGAGAAAAAGGTGCTTACTTGGAGATGGCCCCAAAGAAAACCTAACTCAAACCCTCCAGAAATATTCCTCTGGAAATTTCACAGGATCATTATGTCATCAGCTGTAAGGGACACATGGAACCCATCTAAGCCAATATGAAACCTCACTTGAAGCCAGATATGATAAACAAGACCGATTCAAGTAAACCACAGCCTCCTCTAGACAAGCCTCGAAAACCTCCAACCATGGAGATTCCCTAACTTCTTTGGAGTATCCTGTTCTGGCACTTCACTCTGCTTCAAATGAAGAGATTTCTTCTTAATGTCGCCACCGAACCTCACCAGGTGCAATCTTTAGACCTTACTGTAGCTGCCAATTACTGTGATGTGGCAAGGATTATCAAGAGCAGACTTGCAATCATAATACTAATACATTTGACCTTGAGCCACATTTAGGGCAGGGGAAGGTGAGACTAACCTAGAGAAACTGTACTTCCAGCTTGCTAGAAAATATTTAGTAAATGCACTTAAACATCATTTGTAATTCCCAGTAACTTCTGTTAGATTCACTCTTCTCTGTAAAATACCTGAGGGCATACACTAAAATTTTAACATTCTTAGCAATTGCTAATCAAAATCCACCTTAAAGCATATACACCTCTAATTCTCCTCCCATTCAGCTGCTTGCCTCCATCCAAGTGCTGTGCATTTGAACTGGAACATCAACCACCACACAGGATGTTAAAAATAAGGAAACAAGAAAAAAAAAATCCTACATCAGTAATAATAATTTTGTAACTATATAAATCAAAATAGAGCAAGGAAGAACAGCACTGTAGAAATATAACACCTGCTCTACACGGAAGAGCAAGATCGAGGCTCTGCAGTCCCAGATTCAGAATATGAAGATGCTGCACTTTGGCAATTTCATTTTTCTCACAGTACATATGGGAGATGTCAAAGACGTTTTGCAGAGGTATCAGCAGATGCCTGGAGAACAGCTTGATCAAATGGTTTCAGGACAAATTAATTTTTCAGAAGTTCAGCCGTTCGGGAAGGGGATCACACTGCAATAAAAGCTGTTACAAATCCTGCCTTTGAACCAATAAAAGCCATCAATTTGCACACATCAGTGCAGACCTGCTCCACAGAGTGTTCTGCTATTTATCATTTATTACAAGTGTTTTGAGCTGTACTAAGATGGAATACCAAGGCTGTGAAGGCTTAAAATATCTGCATCTTTTAACACAGGCCATAATTTACAGCTACTATACATAGACTCCCTATTATATAATACCTTCTTTAAAAAGGAAGCCTCTTTCAATAAAAGACAAGAATTAATTTCTCATTCTGAAAGCAAATACAGATTGTATGTAGATTTACAGTCTAGGTTTGGAGGGTCAGGAGGACACCACGCTGAACACTGAAATTAAGAAACTGGCTTTGGGTTCATAATCACTGAAGACACACAGACACCATTTCTGAGTAGACCTGATGGCTGCAATTGCTTCATCAGTTTTTTTTTTTTTTTAATGTTTTTTAGAGCTCTCTTTGGTAGATCCACTACACCAGGAGCTTAACAAAGTACACAGAACACCTTAGTGTAGCCAGGGCTTTCCTCAGTAATATCTAAATACATCTTTTGATGCATGTTCCTCTTCCATTTTTTTATTGATTTATGAGAACAACAGAAATTGCCCACCAGCTTTCTACAGCAAAGCAGAGTATCAACATGCACTCAAAGAAAGATAAATAGGGGCAATACTTGTTTCAGATGACCAAAGTCTACTTCTTAAATTAGGACCAAGCTCTGTGCTTCCTTTTGTAATAATAATGATAATGGCCAGTCTCTTCGCGAACGAAGAACCGGGGAAGGTCTTTCCACCTTCCAGCCTGCGCATTGGATTTTTTAGGTGAGACACAGTGTGCACGGAACTGAGCCCACCCTTTAATCCTGAGGTTCATCTGCCGGGGCCAAGCACGCTTGGACGGTGGCAGCGAGGTCCTCAGGATGTAGATGGATTGCCTTATGGGCTAACGAGCTCCATCTGCCCGGGGAGGGGCCCCGACCGGGATTCGAACCCGGGTCTCTGCAGTGACAGTGCAGTGTCATTTCCCCTAGACCACCGGGGGCTCCCTGCTTCCTTTTGTGCTAGTTCAGTGATCTGTTAGAGTGGCTCAGTCCATCTCACAGAACTTCACCTTAGAGAAACCGACCTATAAATGTCAGTCTAGATTAAGACAGAACAACAAGCCCATTTCCATCTGCTTAAAAGATGTTCAGTTTTCCCTGGAGGAAATTCACATACTGAATAGCCAGAATGCTGCAAACAACAGGAGACACAGGAGTTTGTGTTCCTTTTGCACATTTCTACAAGGTGTGATGTGGAAGGAAGTATATGTATCTCTACATGAATGCTCATATAGTCTGCCATTTGACAATTTCACAGGCACAGGAGGAAAAAAAACCCAGCAAACAAACAAAGCAGATCATATAACAACAATTTTGATTTTTTTCAGTTCTCATATTGGTACAAAGGTTCTATAAAAGCCCTGAAAAAAATACCTAAATTGAGTGTTTTGCTGTAATGACATGTAATTAGACCTTTAGGTTAAAATATACATGACTGTATGGGAACTAAGAAAAAAAATTTCAATTCTCAAATGAGAACACACATTCATTGGCAATATCGAAAACTGGAAGAAACACATGTATTCTTTGCAAGCCCTTGGTAATAAGGATGATCAACAATATTTTAAAAATCCTAAGATATCCAAGCTATAGCCATTTTTATGAATAATAAAGCCTCAGAAGTCAAGAAGTGAAGAAAACAGCAGTAACACTAGAAAAATCAAGCTGTCAGATTACAGATTTGATCCTTCAAGACAGACAGCACATAAGTAATTCCACTAAAGTGAACAGGACCACTATCACATTAAAATGTTAAGAACATTACTAACTGTCTGTTGGAACACGGATCAGAATGTCCAGTTGTTGTAGCATCTGAAGAACCTGGAAAAGAGCTCAGCACTGGACTGGTCTCCAGTTCCAGCATCTTCCCACCATGGTGGAGATGAGAAAGTCTAGGCTCATGATTCAACACCTTTTTAAAGCAGGATATTCCTAAACATTCTTGTGAATCCAATCTATTGTACATGCCTAAAGGGTCTGAACAGTTTTGAACACAGTTTTCAGAATTATCTGCATGCAGCTGCACATAATTATTGGAATTTGAATACTCAAACAGCCAAGCATCTATGTGGTTATTTCAGCATGCATACGATGATGAAATTATCTTCACATTTTCCCAAAATATATCTCTCAGTCTTTAGAGAACCTTAATTTATTTCAAACATTATTTTAATGCATTATTATTTTTAACTCACTCCATGAATTCTTTTGATTCATTTATGGGCTTTGACTGACAGAGCCACATTTGCTCACCCACCTCGAGTGCAGCTCTGGGCTGCCATTGTTGTATTTACTTCCTCTTTCCCACACACCAAAATCTGGAACACGATAGGCCCTCTCCACACAAAACACAAGGTTTTGGATAAAGGACACCTAAAGGAAAAAAAACAAAAGTGACTGAAGAAAAATGAAACCAGTTTATCCATTCATTTTTTCCCAAGAGACAGAAGAGCCATCATTATTCCATCGATTTCTGTTTGAATTCAGAGCAGGATATTCCCAAGCTCAGGTATTCTCCTTAAGACCAGTTCTTAATCACAAAATATGAAGAGGTGACAATGTGAATTTATGCAAAAGTTCCTCCAAAGCCAGGGATAAAAATTATTTCATGTTCAAGACACATATTTGAAGAGCTACAAAAAGGTGATAAGCTTTCAAAAAAGACTTATTCTAAAAACTTCAGAAACCAAAAGAAATTATATCCTGCAAGATTAGGACACAGAAATCTTGGTGCTGTTTCTTAATTAATTTCAAGAGAGTCAATAAGCCAAATTTTATTATATTAGCTCCAGATAGCACATATTCATGCAGATTCAAACACACTCCTTTATAAACATGAATAAAACCCTAAACCAATTTATAATAATTAGAATCTCCATGGATCAACATGTTTCAACTGAATACTAAGGTACTGAAGGGTATTTTAAGGTATTTAAGGTGTATTCAACTATAGCTGGGGACCTATTTAAGCAGATAATTTTTCCTCATTTGCACTGTTGAAAAAGACATTTGGAGTTTCTCAACTGTAGAAAAAATTAAATTGATCATAAGTTTTCCAGTTCAGTTCAAAGAGTCCACAGATTAGAGCTTAGTGAAGATTTAAGCACAAACACAAGATTTACGGTGGTTCATCCATCCAAATTATTCCAAGGGACTCTGATAAAGGGAATATTGCAATGGCTAAATACACAACCATAGAGGAGAATGACAGAGAAGGTTCAACTTTACTACACTCATGTGATTTTTGTTTTTTTAATGAGCTGCGAAACAAACCCCAAATCTTTTACTGAAAGGTATTTGCTTTCATTTTAATTTATCTGCATACTTCTGTTTGGTCTTTTTTCTCTCCACGTTTCTTTAAATCTTAAAAATTTAGGATTTCAGATCCACTCTTCATGCCAATACCAGTCCACCAGCAATATTATAATTCTAGACACATCTGTCTCTTTCTATATAATATGCCTCTGCTAAAATTTCACCATGAGATGCACGTGTACAATTACCTGTACACTAAATCTTTTCATAGCTATTACTTTCAAGAAAACACTGTCCCACTCCTTATTCATCTCTGTAATTTAGCATTTGGCTGTATTAAAATGAACTTTCTGTGAATTGAGCCAGAATACCCAGTGATTAAGTGTGGCTCCTCCTATCTCTATCAATAACTGAAATTGAGATGTATCAGCTAAATAAAGAAGGAAAGAGAACCACATAGAAATATACAACTTCACTGATTACTTCTACCAGTGATGATGATTGCAACACACACAAAAAAAAGCCAATTACAGGCATTTTATGAGACTATCTAAGGGTTTCCAAACAGTAGATTTACAGAAAAAGGCAGCAGAAAGCTTGTTGCAAACCAAAACCATCAGAAGCAAAATCATTCATATCACTGGCATGTAAATGCTATAACACTGTGGCACTTACAGAAATTATGGATTGTGTGTAAGCTTATTTATCCAGAAGTCGAGCATGTGGAGATTGAGGTGTAATAAAGAGCACACACACAGCATGGATGACTGCAAACACTCATGTAACTGTTTAATGTGTGGATAACTGCTCTCACTCATTGCCACAGTCATACACTGTTATCTTTGTTATGGAGGCAAAGACACGATTAAATTAATTTTTCAACTGCCAACAGATGAAACTGGAGGGTAACTCACTGACAGCTGCCATGCCTGACATCAAGCAGGCAGGAATCGCCTCTAAAGCCAAGAGTTCTGTGTACAAACATATTTCTGCAGACAGCTTGCCAAATATCAACCATCTGCCAGCACCTTCCACCGGGTGAGCACCGGTTCTCCATGGAAGGAAGGAGCCTAAATACACCCTGCAATGACACCACTGGGAAGAAACCTCCAGCTTGGTGTTTGGGCAGCAGATTGCCACACCCACTGTGCCACTAGACACGCAGGGAAACTTGGAAATACCATCATTATGTGGAGCTGTAAGGTCTGAGAAGAAAGGCAACTGTTGAAGCTACACCGAGAATAACAGAACACGGATCTGTGGCAAAATAATCTTGTCTAAATCCCCACAGTCCAGAGATTTATAGGGTACAGTTACAAAGAATACTACATCCTGACAAGGAATGAATATCCACTGACTGGGGAGTCTATGTACATGCACTTTTTTTTGCAGAATCTGTAATTAAATACAAAAATTTGGAGGATAATATAAATTACATATCAGGTTAAGTAAATAATTACATACATTTGCCTCCTCACAGACATAAAGGCAATTCAGACAAAATAGTATACAGCTACCATATGATCTAACTAAGCAAGAAAGGAGACATGTTGCAACATTCAGTTCTCTCATTTAAAAAAAAATAGATTAATGAAGATGTACATTTTAGAAATACAATGCCAATACACTGTTGCTGGAAAATTATTCTTTTTTTATATATAAGTGCATTTAAGCTTTTTAAGGCAATACAGCAGCAACTATTAAACAGAACAGAGTATATTTAAACAAATCCAGTTTAAGAGAACTGGAAGAAAAAAAATTTAAAAAAACCCACATACATCTGTGCTTTCCATTCTGTATCAAAACATAACCTCATTTTAGAGCAGGACAGCAGGTTGTCCTCACATGACTTGTCCTCAAGTCACAGCCACAGTGGCTATTATTATCTTATTTACAGAAGAGTTAACAATCTCTACAAACATCCCTCACCATGACATAAAATGGTTGGGTTTTTTTTTCAATTGAAGAAACAGCAAAAATTCTTAATGCCCACAGGTTCATATATATTTGAACAAAGTCCTTCAGCTTTCCAGAAAATTAACCCCATTATTTATTGTATTGAAATTCCACTGGACAGGATGCACTGCCTGACAGTTTGAAATAACATGAAAATTGAGAACAACATAAGTAGAAGTTAACTGTCCTAACAGACCTTTTAATTCTTGACCTTGTACCTTTCAGAAATAGCAGGGAACTATGAAAGTTTTCAATGTCATGTTACATCTACTTTTGCATATTTAACACCTTTTCAGCTATTAATTTATTGCACTATCCATTAGTTCATCTGTTCTGACTTCCACTAAAAGCAAATAGTACCTGCAGTGTATTTTCAGAACAATTATTTTACAGTTGGTAATTAAATAAAACCAAGAAAGAACACAAACAACTCAAAGCACGTGTTTCAGGATCGGAAATCGATTTGTACCTCATCTGTGTTGTAGATAATCTGCAGCCCCGAAGAGATCATCTCAACCAAATAGAGGAGGAACAATGACACAGTATTGATCTGAAGTGATTAAACACAGAAAGGAAACTATAATTAACTTTATGCTTATTGGAGTCAAACAAACAAACTAAACATGGTATTATTCCCTAATAGTGATGATTTTACTATAACACTGTTTTGCTTCTTCAAAAACACTCTCCTAGACCTAATGATGGGGACACAATCGATAGGAAAAGATGCCACAAAGAAGCACTGTCCTCTAAAACTTCTGATGTATTAACATTTTTTAAATTATTCAAACTATGCTGTCAAAAGATGCTATCAAAGCACACTGCTTTGACCCATGGGCAATCACTGGAGCCACAAGCTGTTTCATGTTTATATTTATAACCGTTTATTAGCAAGTAGATGACCAAAAAGGCAAGTATTATATTGAATAGTACACAGCACACCTAGAAAGCAAATCACTTCATCCCTAGTGGGAATTTTAGTGCTATTAGCTGACAGGAGTATAATTACAACATTCAGATATGATTAGATTTGTGAAAAACTATTTTTTTGCAGTCGTACACAGCATTTATTATTAACAGTAATTACCTTCAGCAGCTATACAGATGAGCACCATAATGCCAATTCATTGATGAATCAAAGGAAACTGCTGGATTGGGTTTTTATTACAGAATTCTACTATAATTGAGAATTTGTATAACTCCAATAGAGAATCTAAGTTTCTCACAGCAACTTGCTTCAATGAGGTAAAAACCTACAATCTCAGTATATGAAATTTAGAGAAACCCTCTAGAACTTTTAATCCAGTTTTTTAACTGGATTCTTATCTGAAATATAGCAGATTAAAAATTAGGTCCACATTTTAAAAATCTCAAAAGATATAAAGACTCCTCTCTTCACTTCCTTAATACAAACTGAAAAGCACCAAGTACAGCAATAAGAGCTACATAATATAATCTATTTTTCCCAACTGAATTCCCTACATTACTCTGTGCCCTGTTGTCTCCACAGAGCTGAAAACTCTCTATTTTTTGATGTGTGCTGATGACAGAAGCGAATGTGCATTCATGTTATGGGAAGGGTTGAGCTGCCACAAAAAACAGACTTGAAACTCTCATATACTGCTCCCCAGGTCCCAAAATTGTCTCCTCCTGCAGATAAAAGATGTGCATTTTCAGGGAGCTTCACAAAGAAGTCCAAAATGCTAACTTAGGATAACTGCATAAAGCATTTTTCTCAGAACACAAATTTTCTGAATCCAACACACTTATTGTACAAACTATTCAAGTAAAGTTGTCACCATGAAATTAAATAATTATCAACCTACTGGCAGCTCTGAATAACTTCACTAGGAATGTCTGAACTAAAGACTATGCAGACCTAAGGACTGCAAAATAAGGCCATGAAAGCAAACAAGGGTCTGAAAACGAAGAAGAGAAGGAGGAAAAAAAGGAAAGGAGTAGATCAAAACTTTGAAAAATGAAAGACTAAAACATTAAATTAGGCAATGAATCTGACTAGGAACCACTTCACAAAGAAGTGAAGAACAACTCCTAACTAGACAAAGCTATTGTCAGTGTACATTAAATGTTTACTATGAATGAAAATTTCTCAAACTTACAGAAAATTAAGCTGGGAACATTCACATTCACTGTAAGATTACATTAAATCTTTCACTTTACTGACTACAACATTGTTTTGCCAGAATTATTAATTGACAGCCCTCTGTTGCTCTCAAAAGAAGAAACTTCATAAACAACCAACCATCTACCTCTACAATCCCACAGTTATTTCAGTACCTTCTGACTGAAACATACCACTGAGTTATTTGAAAATAGTTTATCTTTCACAAAAAGATGCAGAAGGAGCCTCAGTTTTACCACATACAGCACATTTAACACAAGTCTAACCAAACTGAGACAGCTGCATTATGGAAGAATGGAGAGAACAATAACATTATTAAAAAAACAGCTAAACTTTTACATGCACGTGCATGTGTTACCTGAAGGTGCCCATACTCCTTATGAGAGAAGACCTCATCTCCAGTGTGTGCACTGAACAGAGAATGTAGACATGCAGATGGTTGGGGGTCTTGCTTAAATTTCTGAACCTAAAGGTGAATGAAAGGCAAAACATAAAATCAAAGTCAATAACGTCAGTGTGATTGGCAACCACAAATTCACTATGTATTTCAGGTATTAAAAAATTCCTCCACGTGGCCACTATGTAAAACTTTATAAACCAGAGTTCCTGAAACTTATCAGAAGCTATTTCATACATACTTACAAGCATACATACACCTAAAGAACACAGATATTCACCCCATCTATCCAATCTCTTTGGGTTTGGCAGAAAAAAACAGACATCTGTAATAGAAAGCTACAGATGCTCAGTTGCTTTTATCTTCTGGTCAAACAGAAAGCTGAAATCTTCGCAGAAATCACGTCAGTCACTTGAATTCACAGACCTGAAGTGTAGACACAGAACCCTGACCCACAGCTCTCAGCTGGCTCACCACCTGTCCCTAGCAGAGTACCAGGAATTCCACCTGCTCTCTCACCTTCCTGGCCTGTCTCCATCCATCACAGCATTCCAGTCATTGGAGCTATCCTCCCACCCCACCCAGCCCTGGAGCTGCACACACACTTTATTGCTCCCTCTCCTTGCCCAGGCTGCATTAGTGTGCAGGCACTGCTGAGGCATCAGAGCATGACGAGTTCCCAGAAAGGGTCCTGAGCTTTCTTCTCCCTAGTGCTGTCCCACAGGGCCCTCCTTATTTCCACATGCACACTCAGGACAACTCCAATCAATGCCACCTCCTTCTGTTCACATTAGCCCAGGCCCTCGGCTTGCTCACCCCAGCCACCACTTCCTCACTGGAGCACTCTCTCCCCATGCCACCATTCCTCGTTTAAAGCTCTTACTGGAGTGCAAGAGCCCAAAATTTATGCCAGGAACCAGTAGTTTCACTAATTTTTATGAATCACCATCCATAAAGTAATTATTGTTTTACCATTTAAAAATGCAAAAGGTTTCAAAACAAAAAAAAATACTGTTGTTATTAATAATAATTGTTAAGCCTTCTGGGCTATAGACCTGCATAAATTGCAATGTTTCGATCATGTGACAAATGAAACGCTGCAAGAACTCTGAATATCTAGTGTAAAAGAGATTACCTGGGAAAAGAATGGTTTGATTTGGTTGTGACATTCACATACAGTGAAGTATTTACAGATTCTAGAAGACAAAGCTGAGAGCTTAAAAAAGAAACGGAGATCAGGGATAGGAAGAGTAGTGCACCAGATTAAAATGAACTTCTATGCAGGGACACTATCACTGGACCTCAGAATATATCTCTAAGAATCTCATACAATGGAGATTAAATTAATTACTAATACAATAGATTAACGAAGGTGTGAAATAATACTATGGTCATTTTAAAGTAGTTTTGATTCCTTCTTTGTCACGAAATACAGTGTCTGCTACCTTACAAAACCATTTGGGAAAACAGTCTGGACTGTCAGACAGTTGCCAACAGGGCAGAAAAATGAAACCAAATTCACAAAGAAAAGAAAGAAGGTAAAAAACCAAGAGCCTTTTCCATAACTTTTAAAGTCACCTTTTGCTCTCCACCATATTTCTTAATTTTCTAACCATCATTGCCAGTACCTGATCCACATTTCACAACATTTCCAACACTGATGTTATCTTCGTGAGATACTCTTCTCTACCAACAAATCATACATAACACAGAGCATGTGCCTCAGACACAAGAAAGCAAATACTGTTTTATAGAGTTATCATGTCTACTCCATGAACACATTAAATATATACAGATCAGAACTCATACATTCCTTAGCAACAGAATGCAACATCTGCAATTTTTGTTACAAGCAGCAGCATCTGTTCAAGTCATGTCTTGGGAAAATATAATTCTTCTTATTAATAAAAAGCATCTTCCTTCTACATGAGGCCAGCACACACAGTCTCTCAAAATAAAGTCCAGCCTGATTTATTTCTGTTAGGTACCAGAAAGCGTTTATTACTACACCGTGGGAAAAGAAAAGCATCTCTAGTAAACAAGGCAAAACCTGACAAGTAGGATGTCAGCAGTGTGACACCTGTGTTAATTTAACGCTTATTATTTCTATCTGCACTCAGCAACCTCAAAAACCAACAACCGCATGTCAAAGAGAAAAACAACAGCTCAAATGCAACAAGATCAATTTAGGTCAAGATTATTTAAAGATATGAGGCCACAAAGAAACAGATGATGAAAAAAGAAAAAATATGTCAGCATAAATACAACTGGCAACACATCTGATTTGCTTATTATTGTCATTACTGGTATCACATGCCTATGAACTTCTCATTTTAGCTTGTGTGCTCAGCTGAGATGAAGGTTATGTGGTTACATGAAAACTATTTCTGAAAATGCAGTTAAAAGTCAGTTACATGAAAATTAAAATAATCATATGGAATATATAACTACTTCTAGAATTACTGCTAACCACTATGCAAAATTAATCCACTATATCTAAATTTTAAGAAGGGGAATCCCTGAATATTCAAGAATATTCAGGGTATACTCACAAGAGGACTACAGGTTGAATAAATCAACTGTGCTACAACATAAGCAATTTACTGTTTCCTTATTCATTTTGGGCTGTTGCCTTTCTCACTTTACATTATTAAGTCAAAGAATACTGGAAAGTTTCTGCTAAAGAAACCAAGCAAAATAATCAAAACGATCACCTAGATAAGAACACCCACAAAACCAATAACCAAGATAACAGTGCAAAGAAAAGTCTCCAATCTTAACTAAAAGAAGTTCTACATCTTTCCATTTAATCACTAAAAAGACATAAAAACACCCACAATTACCAATGGTGTAATATTTAAATAGGATAACTAACTGCAAAATGAACCCCGAGACGTTTCAAGCACACCCTGCATTTTACTTCATCAAACACTCGTGCCTTCTACACCCTAAAACAATGCTGTGGCCTGACAACAGCAGAGCAGCTGTTCTGAGCTGGGCCACACAGCAGCACTGCATTCCCCTTTGGAATTTTATCTATATTTAGAAGTTAGTTTTCACAGTTTAATTAATCCCCTGGAATGAAGGCAGTGCTCGTGTCCACACTCCAGTGTTTTACCTTATCGGCCTGCCGCATGTAGCAGTAGAGAATTCCTCTCATGCACTTTATAGCAGAATGCTCCAGCTCGTGAGTCCTTCCCTTGTCATCATCAATACGTCTGGGTAAGAGAGATAACTCGTAAAACAAATTGGAAATGCATTAGCAGGGAAAAAAAAAAAGGACGTTAATGCTTTGGAATATTAAGTATTCAACTAATGCTGTTGCATAGTGGTGTCCTCACCCGTATTAAGATATTTATTGCGCTATTCATCCTTCCTTATTAAAAAATAATAATAAAAGGGGGGGAGGGTTTGCAGTTTGTCTTGCAACTTACACAACCATTCCTACTTCAAAATCTAAAAAGAAAAAAAATCCTTACTGATATAACGTTTGGTCCCTTGCAAGGAAATGAATTGTTAGTCCCTGCATCAAGCCTGCTAATGCTCTGAACTCTCCTACATTTGAAACCAGCAGTATTCCTTGAGTACAATTTGCCACAAGAACCTGTTTTTAATAGCATGCATTGATGTCTCTGCTACAAATACTGATACCAACTACATTACACAAAAACCTGTTTACTTACCAGAAGCAGAGTGGCATTTTTAACCTAGTCCTTACAGGAATATTTTTACCAAGATTTGGAAACATGTACCATGGCTACATGTATGGGTTTAGGAATCTACTTTTGACAAAGCTTCATCTTCGAAACCTTTCCTGGGGAACTGAGCAACAGAAAGGATGTAAGAGGTGTGACTTGAGAGGTTACTCACCTGTAAGCAAGGGCCAGTGCCCAGGCACAGGCAGCACAGTAAAGGCTGTCATGCACCTTTGCCTTTTGGTTATCCCCATAGGTCTTGGTAGGGAACAGACCTGTGGTTGGGCTCTGATGGAGCAGCAAAGTTGATTTAACTGGAAAAAGGAAAAATAAAAAGGCTAGTAACAACACTTATATTTTTTCCAGTTTCTAAACTGATTTTCAGGAGTAAATCAAGGCGTGAACAACCTGTTAGAGCATGTACAAATGAAACGAGAAAGAAAGGTAAGGGGAAACACACAAAAAATTTGCCACGTTGTCCTTTCAGTCAAATTAGACCTTTTTACAAAAAAACCCAACAGTATTCAAAACTATTTATATGACTCTGTTCTAGCACAACCCACTTTGTACAGAATCTCTACAATACAACCCAGTAATTTCCTCTTTATGAAAAGAGACGAAAAAAGGGACTACAGTATGTCAACTGCCTCCCCAATCACTGAGATACTTTATCTCTCCAGAACCCTACATTTATAAAAATTACATTTTTAACTTAGGCTATATGATTGTATTGATATTTATAAAAGAAAGGAGAGAGTAAGTAAGGGGAAAGGGCAACTACAATTCTTTAACTTAGAACCTTGACATAAAAAGAGAACAAGAGAGAAATTTTCAAGTTGTCAAAACTGACTCAGAAAAAATACTAAATAGTACTTGATTCTTTTTGTACTTTAATATTTTTTCATTTTCTGCATTGTTTTCCTAAAGTTCTATAATAACCAGCGTGCTACAAGATTGAAACTGGGCTTATTGCCCTCAAACATGACCTTTCTAACAATAATCTGTCCAGTATAAGACAGGAAAGCAGGGGTGTTTTTTTCCCAGATTGTTATCAAGCATCGATTTTAAAAAAGTCTCTTTATGTATGTATTAGAAATTAAGAATTTAACGAAACTTATAACGTTTTATTCTTCAGTGTCTTGATACCTTGTAACAAAAACTTGGATAAAATATTACCTGAAAAGTCAACATAGATTATTCTAAAATGAAGTATAAATTCAATAGTCATTTTTTACTGTGGCAGCAGCCATTAAAAAACCCTGTATTTTAGAATACAGGCAGGACTTCATTATAACACAAACCTCCTAAAACCCGCTAAAACAGTACAAACAAATCATTGCTTCTTTAACAGTTTTGGCTTAAAAGAACCTCATAATGAAAAGAAAAAACCCGAAAGTTGACTAAAAGTAAGTTAGCTAACAAATAAAGTTTCAGCACAAAACACATTATGGCACCACTAAGAACAAAAAAGAACTTCTTACTGATCGCCTGCCAAACTGTTATAAATACCACCAGAAAGCTTTTTTCCATTTACATTTTTCCTCAGCTGTATCAGGTTAATGCTGCAATACCAAGCTACCCCTTTATCCAGAATAATTCTGAATTCAGTCTTACAGCTGGGCTGGATTTCCAAAAGGCATTTTGATTTCCAGCAAGAAGTGTAACACAGCCCTGCAGTCTTTGCAACTTTCAAACTCCCAGTAGAAATTTAGGGAACTACCCTTAAGTAGGAATAACACAGCGCTGATATTTACCGTGAAAACATCAATTCTAACTCCTGTCTGGGGTAGGTCAAACATCAAACACTTGTCAGCAGATGACCTTTGTCCATCCCCATCCAAGGCCATCACGTGCAACTCCGAATCTATCTGCAGTCTGGCAAATGCCATCATTTTGAACACTGTTTGCCACTCATACACTTTCACGCAGTGTATGAAATATCCAAGTACATGCATTACATTATCACAGGGATCTCGTGAGGAATTGTATCCCTTTACCTCTCAGGAAATAAAAATCCTTACTAAGGACTGCTGATACTACTTTAAGACAAAGCTAATGACTTTCATAAGCACAACTGTAAATATTTTAGTGAGTTACACTGAAAATGATGATGATGACTATTAACTTACCAATTCTATAGTAATGATTTAATTTGTCCCATAGACTTTCCCCCTCTGGCCTTGGAAGGTTAATACTTTTGAGTGGCTCATAAATTGAACCTAAAAGAAGAAGAAAAAACAAAACACAATCAAGATCAGAATTGGTTTCATAATTCTACTATTCCTAAGAATTAGTGCAACATGGTATTTTTCCTGTTTGTTATCCAAAAGCACAATTTATAGCATTTCAAAGGAAACAAAAAAAGTTGCTGTCTCTACAATCTCAGGGAATAGATTTCTACGCACATTTTTTTCTACAGTATCTGTCTACACAAATCAGACCTCCATCTGGGTCTCCAATGCCCTGTTGATACTCAGCTACAGTAAGTGCTACTTAAATGTATAGTTAATTACTGAAGATTATTTACTGAAGATTAATTACTGAAGCTATTAAATGTTAAGAATTTTATAGGAACATTTGCCTGAACTTTATTATGCTACAGACAAAATTCCTAAAGATATATAGAAAAACACAAGGAAAAGGAACAAAAGTAGATTAAATTCAGCTATTATTTCCCTATCTGCCCCCTAAAATAGTGAACATGTACAAGAGCATCAATATTTTACCTAATCCAACCTCGTTTGCACCCACCACCACAATTATCCCAGCTGATCTCATATCTTGAATGACAAAAAGGTCCCAAGATACTAACAATGCTTAAACAACCTATCCAACTGATAAAGTCTCCCGATTACCTATATTACAGAGAAATACAATGATATCAAATCCACCTCTTTCCTTCTCAGTGTCCCACACATTGACTGCTTCCCCATTTACACCTGAGAAGTCAGTTTTCCTGATATCTGAAACGAGCTTCCTATTAAAAATTACCCATGTGAACCATTTCTAACTCCTAATTTAAGAGTAACACACTGCTCTCCTCCCTCCATCAATCCCTTGGGCTTTATTCAGAGTTCTGGCTGGCAAGGTGTCCCACAGAGCCCTGTACTAAGAGGAAGAAGGAGCACACTCCCTTTCCGGGCTGCAAGCTGCCCTTCCAAAAAAACACAGGGAATGCACTGCCAGGGGAAGCCCAGTCAGCCAAGCACTTCTGGCAGGACACAGCTGAGTGCTTTATTCACACTGGCTCTTTGGAAATCCCAGCACATACCCAAGTAGTAGACAGGAGATTGTCCATATTCAGGACTCTCATCCAAATGAAATGAAGAAAAAGAAATGAAGAAAAAGGAAAGTGTTCAAGAAACAACTGGACGTGGCACTCGGTGCCACTGTCAAGTGACAAGGTGGTGTTTGGTGAAAGGCTGGACTCGAAGATCTTGGAGGTCTTTTTCAACCTAATTGATTCTGTGAGTGTGTGTGGAGAAAGGAGCTCTATGAATAAAGTCCTTTGGAGGGGAGACAAGAAAATGTCTCTTGCTCCTCAGGAATTCAAACCTCACCTCCAATTTAGTATTATTTTTGCTTTGCAATCATAGGAGTTTAAAAAAAAAAATCCCCCCCTCTCTGAGCAGATTCCTGTGGGTGTGCTGTGCATGGATGCTCTGGTGATGCTTCCCAACACATCTGAGCTTCCCCTACAGCTCTTCCCTTCCTCACTGGGAGAGTTACAAACAACACATCCATGTGGGGAAGGGCCTGAGAGGGAAGCACAGAAAGCCCAGTTTATTAAAGCTGCCTAAAAGAACAAAGTAAAAAGAAATTAAATTGTTCAGTAAAGGAAAAGAGAAACTTCTAATATATCGCATCTTTCATATCTACTGCTAAAAAAAAAAAATTAAAAAGAACAAATCAACATTCTGAAGCAATTTAAATCCATTTTTCAAAGCAATTTTATTTTTCTATTTCTTTTTGCCTATGAATCCATGTCCACGAGGAGATTCATAATTTATAGTGTTATACTATTAATTCAGTTATCTTGCAAAAGCACATAATACAGTGACCTGTGTAACTGTAATTTTATAAGGCAGTTCAGTGAAAGTAGGACAGAATATGCAAAGGAAAAAATCTTCAGGAAGTCACTTCCTGCATAAAAAGTAGCAAATTTATGAGAAATATTCACTTAATAGAATTTCAAAGGCAAAATAAAGATTCTCTTAGATTTGTTAACTGTATAACACATGCATAGTACACCATCCTTCCACATTCACTTCTTGCAGACTGTTAATCCCAGTATTGCACCAGGAAACACAGCTGAGTATTCACAGGCACACACACATATACACAAGTCAAAAGTTCCTAAAGTGAAATTGTTCTAATTTACATACTTACCAGACAATGTGTGACCCTCTGTGGCCAACAGAGAAACAAAATAATGTTATCAAGAACAAAAAGAATATTCTTCTATTTCAGAGCATTCAAAGATTTCAACTTGGAGCAGAAAGAAGATTGAACAGAAAAAAAGAGCATGAAAATGGTAAAGCACCATCGTCTACAAATTACATTATTTTAGACGTTTGAAACTTTACTAACAGAACTATATTAAAACAGCCAGAGTAGAATGTTAATGAAACAAAAAGCTAAAAATTTGACTACAGAAAAATAGTTTTATTCCTAGCAAGTATTCCTTAAAATAACTCCTACTATAAGTAGGAGAACTTGTTTAAATCAAACTTTTCCACACATTCTTCATTAATGCCCCATGAGCACCTATACAGTTTATGTTTTGCTTGGGTGTCTACAGCATTCTCCTGGAGAAATCATGAGGTAAATTATGTTTCATTGCTATCACAACCTAATCAAAAACAAGGAGCAGCCAGGACAAACCCAAAGTTGCTCCTTCCTTGTGGTTTGGAGTGAGCCCATAACAAAGTCCAAGCTATTTTTAGGATGGCTAAAAAAAGTCTTCCCAAATCTATTTAAGAGTTCATTTCAGCAAGACTAAAACACGCCTTAGAAAGCTATTTCAAATTACATATTTAAAATAGGTTTTCAAACTGAGAAAAAAAAAAAAAAAGACAAAAGCAAGACTGCAACACTCTAAACATAACAGAATGACATGTGCAAAGAGTTCCCTGGAGGTCTTGGGCTGTGTGTTGGCATTCAGAAGAAACAGGACGAGCCCATTAATTTTAAATACTGTTTTTCATAAATATATCACTTCATTGTAACCACACAGTGTGGGTTTTATTGTAGGTAAATAAGTACATATACTAGGAAGTAACAAAACCCCCTATTTTGTTGATTTAGTATTTCCTCAGCTGCCCAACAGTGTAACAACCCCATCCAACATTTAAATGGGGTATGTGGGAGTTCAGCTCTTCTTCCACAATAAATGCAGCGTGCCCATTATTTCCTCACACCACAAGTGGATTGCTGCAAGGCAGTAACTACTTCACAATCAGAGAAAAAACCGATAGGAAATTAAAGTACTGCTTCCTGCACTAATATATTTCACGTCTGATAAGAGAACACCAAAAATCTTATCCCAAGTCCAATTAAATCCCTGTCTCTCTTCAGATGCTGCACTGACTAAATACCCTATATCCATATTCTGAATGAAAATTAACCCCCTTTTATTTCCTACCATTTAGGGTTTCCAGAGTAATATGATTTCACCAATCTTCAAGTTGAAGAATTACTAAAAAGGACAGAAACTTCCTTTCAAAGTATTAGGGAGCAGGAGGAAATATCAAACAGCCCAATAACTGATGACAAACACATCAAACACTAGTGCAGAACTAAAGCAATAATAAACAGACATGGTATTTCTGACTTAGTTAAGACAGAAAAAAGTATAAGAAAACCTTATTGAGTAGATGAAACTGAAATGTGCAATTCCAGGGAAAAAATCACAATTTAATTATCTCTTCTAAGCAGAATATAAAACTGAAGGAAATTTAGGAAAGCTCTCCAAGGTAAGCTATTAGCAGTGTAAATACCTATGTATATACAACCTCTGGAGGCTGAAAATATTATGTCATCCTGATATTAAAGTATTTTCCCATCCACCTCATTTTTATTCCATTTATATTTGAGATTAGCATTAATTGCTCTTCAGGGAAGAGCTATAAACTGTCTAGGTGTTTAGATTTAGAAGCTATGGCCAACACAGCTTTTAAACAACTCTGCTCCTAAATTTGTTTACACAGAAGATTTGAACACCCACACACTCTTGAAAATGGCAGCAATTGGGGATATTAAAGAAAAAGAGACATCAGAATAGAATTCTGGACCAAAGCTATGGATAAAGATTTGTATATTTCAGCAAGGAGGGTTTATTCAAATTTTTCAAAGTATAGAATTAAAACAAACACTGCCCTGAAGTTTAATCACAAATAAATGGAAGCACCATGTCAAGAACTTTATTTGCAATATTTCGCGTGCCAGAAGAACAAAAGAAAATGTTAATGTGCATAATTAAATCAGGACAGGCCAAAGGAAAAAAGCTGAGAATACAAGATTTCTTTCTAGATTTGATGAGAATCAAACTGACCACAGCCTTTAACGTGACACTAGTTCTGGATGTAATCCAACACTTGAGACAGCAACAAGTTCTGGATCTCAGATCACTGTAGCTCTCATTACCCACCATTAGTATGGGCAATTACTTCTTCACATTATAGAAGTCACTGGGACCAATGAGGATTTTATGTCTTCTCACAACAAAGTTTAAGAAATGATATCACATGGGGATTTTTAATCACTACATACAGGAGGAAACTCACAGCTGACCCTGCTTTGATCAAGAGGCTGGAGTAGACGACGTCCTGACAACCCTTACAAACTGAACTGTTCTACAGTCCAATGAAAACAGGGTAAGGAAACACAAGAAGAGCTTGGAGAGGAAGATGCAAAAGGTATCAAAGTATTCTTCTGCCTGAATAGACAGTAGGAGTAAGCACAAGGTACAAATTGTTATGTAGGTTGAGTGATCATAACAATACAGGTAAAAAGGAGTGAAATCCTGTAATAGCATTGAAATAGCACTGAAGTGAAAAAGCTTCTAAACTATCATTTAGCCCAAAAAAATCATATATTAGACAGTGCATGTAATTCAACTAGTGTTTAACAGAATCAGAGAATATCCTGAGTTGAAAGGGATCCACAAGGATCACTGAAGTCCAGCTCCTGGCCCTGCACAGGACAACCCCAGGAATCCCATCATGCGCCTGAGAGCATTGTCCAAATGCTTCTTGAGCTCTGGCAGCCTTGGGGCCGTGACCACTGCACTGGAATCCTGTTCAGTGCCCGACCACCCTCTAGGGAAAGAATCTTTTCCTGATATCCAACCTAAACCTCCCCTGACACATTCCTGCGGGTGCTGTCACTGATCATCAGAGAGGAAAAAGAAAAAACATACGCACCAATTTATTTTGTCCCTTCTCTATTTCCTAATCATCTGAAGTCACTTCTCTCTACAGTATATTATACTTAATGGAAATCACTGATTTCAGGATTTACAGTAAATAACAACACACAGGAGCTACTGAACACCAGGAATAAAATCCTGACCATTGTGCCAGTACACAGGAGCTTCACATAACCACAATGCCAAAGTCCACCACACAAGCCTTGTAAATGACACAAGCAAGGCAGGAAACCACTCAAGATATTCAAGGCAGGCACTGCCATTTCTGAGAACTCAAACCAATAGCTCTTAAAACTACTAAAAATGTTTATTAACAGAAACTTCAAGTATCAGTACAATAATTAGGAAAGAGTAATTATTTTTCTTACAATGTCAATATTTGACATGTTCTTTGAGGTCAAGGGAGGTGAAACAGAAATGGCACAGGCAGGGGAGGGAAGTCCAAGTGACTCAGCGTGGCAAGAGACAGCTGAAATCCCCTCACCTGGTTCCCTTCACTAGCACTTAAACTGCTTCTGTATTTCAAGAAGGACTGCACAAGAGTCCTGTACAGCCTTCCCCTACCAGCTGGTTTCACATAGGGATACATCTGTCCCCTGTCAAACTCCTTTCAAAATAGAATAATGGCCTTGACAACTGCCCTAGGACTGTAGTTTCTGTTGTACCTGAGGAGAAGCTGTGCCAGGGAGTTTTCTTTTGCTTCCACCTAATTTCCAAAAGTCAAGATTTGTAACAATGACTGACTTACTGAAAATCTTACTTCTTACCTCTAAACCAGTCACACTGGGGCTTTTTAGAACCCAATTCTAAACACCATTCTTAGGGCATCTTTCATATGACCATCATCTTACAGGAGAAATTTCAGTTCAGAGATTATTACACAGAGATACTGACAGGAACACAGAACAGGAAGATTTGACAGTAGATTTCAATCCAAGAATATTCCAAGTTTTGGAAAATTTCACTGAAAGAGTTCAAATTTTTAAGTTCTACTGTACAGTGCTAAAAATGTGCTAGCACAAAACATTGCACAAAACACAAAACACAATTATTTTTTGTTGAATTAAATAGCCACAAACAAAAACAAAACACAGAACTGCACACTTACCAAATTTTAAAAAAGCATGCGCAGAGGAGGCTCTGTCATCATCCAAATTGGCCATTTCAAATTGGTGCAGCTAATCACAAACGTCTCAGGCTAAGCTACAGCAATTTTCAAAATTGTTTAGTAAATGTTAAAGGCAACCAGCATTAAATTAAGTGAAAGCAATGTTAGTGGAGTTATTAACATGACAGAGTGCACAGCACAAGGTTTCATTTCATCTTATGTTTCCTTCTTATATGCTGACCTCTTGGTTTCATTATGCTTTTGCTTCCATCAAACCTATTTGAGTAAAAGGACATAGTCTACAAAAAGTCTATTTTTTTTGGATATTTGACATTAGCTTTGTTATTTTATAGGAAATTTGCTACTAACATCAAGAGGTGATAAATAAAATCTGATATATTTCAAGATTAAACAAAAATAATTATTTAACTAGTCCATACAGAAGTGTTAAGTAATAGTAAGCACAGAGAGCTACAGCTCTGCTTGTGCACAGTGCTGTTTTTATCCCATGGGAAATCTACACCAGGGTGTTTCTTGCAGACATATATATAACTTATGGCACTTAATATCTCAGTTATTTGAGGTAAAACATCTTCCACTTTGGAACATACAATAAGAAAACAGTGTTTGTAATTATGATGCCAAGTTTTTCCAAATCTTTAAAGAAGTTTATGTTTTTTACAGTAACTAAAATTTCAGGGGGTTCAGATCAGTCAACTCCTGAATATCTTTATAATCTAGTCCTAATCAGAGGATCCTAATCATTTGTTGCTAAAAAATGAAACAGTATTTTATTGTTCAAGGAAGAGAAATAAAAAATTCTCAATAAAATTTGGCTTTACTGGCAACAATGTAATCCATAATTTAATATACATAAACATGAAGATACAGATTACCTCCTACAGGATTGGGTCTTAAATGACACATTGATGTTGGCTATAAAACATGAATCACTCGTGCAGTTCAGGCACATGGGTCTATACTCCATCTGTACTCTGTCTTATCCAAGCACTACACTAGGAAAATAATAAACCCAAACAAAACAGGGCTGTTTGTGAGCTGGGACTCTCCGGCACAGGCCTCAGCCAAACCAGACATGTATGGGGGAGTTTCAGACACTTTCTATGATTATCCCAACCATGACTCCTTCTGAAAGGGCCAGAAAGGAAACAGAAGAGCTCTGAAGATTACATAAATTTTAACATACTTATAAAGATACAGCAGTAAACTTGAAAAACAAGAACATGATTTTTAGTTTTAGATACGAATGTTACCTGAAAGATTATACATTAAATTTGATCTTTAAATCAACTTTATTATTAGAAGAACTTTTCAACTAAAATAATGTTTATTTCTTGACTAATTTTCTCCAGTTATGATATAAAACTCTATGAACAAATCTCTAGACAAAATTTCTATGCACAGGGAACAACAATAATCTGTCACTGCAAAGGAGTCACTTTTTATACATTTAACAACAAAGTCGCCTGCAGCAGCAGTAAATACTCAAGCATTTACAACCACCCAAATGCCTTCTGCAGCCACAGGGCCTGAACCTGCAGGGGGAATCCCAAAGTTCATGTGCTGCTGTGGGGCTTGGGGTTCACACACTTCAGACATGCAGGCTCCACACTTGATTTTCTAGAGCTCTATGGCTACACTTGTCAATCAGCTGTCAGGTAACAGCACTCTGTTAATAATCATAATCTGCCACAATGTAACAACTCTTTCAGTGGAGTCTCTTAATCACGGAACTTGCAAATCAATACTATATATACACTGAACTTTTAAAGCCAAATGAATCAGACCAGCCTTTAAACAATCCTTTAGAGACCTCATAAAGCCCCATCTTCTTTTCGCACTGTCTGATCAGTCATTAACACAACAAAACCAACCAAACATGCAAGTAAGTAAATAACAATTGAGTTTTATAAGCATATATGGTATATAAATAAACACCACAGGGATCTTCTGGAAAACTGCTTCCATTTAGAACAACTAAAGCCCTACTAAGACTGTATTTTACTTTGAAAAAGTAATTTTAAAAACTACTTTTTTGAACTTTGGAAATGCAAGCCAACTCGGTAAATATTGCCCTTCCATTTAGGTCAGAATGGAGCTGCCACGTAGTCCAAGTCTAGAACAAGAAATCCTCATGCCATAAAACAGTTACCTTTATCCAAGGGAAACCTGTCAAAAACTATTACCCTTTTTTTTTTCCTAAATACTTCATCTTTTTGACGGTTTTATATAACTGCAGCAATAAATACTCCTCTGAGCAGCTGCCTGTGCAGCTGTGGGGCCAAGTGACACCTGAGCAGTACCTGGGGCTGTGCCCTGCCAAGGACACGGGCTGAGGATCCCGGGAGCACCTGGTGTTCCAGGTGTCCCTCTCACAGCCAGGAGGGGCAAACACGGCCCGGGATGGGCCAGGAGCGGGGGCAGGAGGGTGGGAAGCGGGGTGGTGAGTGACGGGAGCGAGCGGGACCCGCGCAGCTCCTCCCGGGCGAGCCAAGAGGTCAGACCTGAGCGCTTGGAGCGGGCGCGCAGCTCCAGCACCTTCCAGCTCACATCGGCCATGTGAGAAGCCGCCGCCGCCGCCGCCATCCCGGCGAGGTCGCGGCGGTCGGTCCGGGATGGCCGGGCGGGTTTCCCTGGATCGCCCCTGGATCGCGCCGTAAAGCGGCTCGCGCAGGCTCCGCCGGCGCTGCCGCAAACCGCGGGCCGGCCGGGCCGGGCCCGCCCCCGCCACCGTCAGAGCGCGGGCGGGGCGAGGCCGAGCGCGATGGGGGCCCGCGGGCCGTGCCCGCCGCTGGCCCCGCTGCTGGTCCCCGTGGTGGTCCCGGCGCTGGCCCTGCTGGCCCTGGCGGGGCCCGCCCGCGCCCTGCAGAATGTCACGGCGCAGCTCTTCGGGCCCGAGGCCCACGGAACGCTGGCGGCCTTCGGAGACTTCAACTCGGACAAGCAGACGGACCTGTTCGTGCTGCGCGGCGGTGAGTGCGCCGGGCCGGGAGCGCCTGCGGTCCCTGCCCGTGTCCGGGCTGCTCCCCGTCCCCTCCCGGGCAGCCCCGCGATGCCGCCGCCCTCCTGCCTCGGCCCCCCGCGGCTCGGGGAGAGGCAGCAGGTGCCTGTGTGACTGCGGCCGTCTCGGTGCCTGGCGGGAACGGAGGGGCTTTCCCGGTAAGAGCTGGCCCTTGAGGAGCAGGCGATGGACTCGATGATCCCTGCGATCCCGCGGGCTCTGTGGGTCACGGGTTGCTCGTTGTCTCCCCCAGCACGGCCTGGGTGCCGGGGGCTGCCCCCCGTGTTGCTGAGGGCCGTCGCGCTGGTGTTCGCACGATGAAGTTGACGTTTGCTTTGCTCCTGACATAATTCCTGCGTGGAAAAAAGGTGTTTTCAGTTTGTTCTGAAGTATGGGTGTGTACAGGGCAAGACACTTTTCTTTAAAGTTGAATTTATGGTTTTGAAAGAATTGGCATTAATTTCTCCTCTAGCATGGTCACAGATTGGATTTTCGCTCCTACTTTCACAGTATTTTGGGAAACACAGATGAACATTTCGCAGATGTGAGGAGGATAAATTGCACGTTATCCTACCTTAAAGTGGCAAGGTAGAGAAATTTGTTTCTCACAGCCACAAGTCACCTGCCATGAGTTTTTGCTTAGGCTTCACATATGGTGAGACCCCAAATGAGAGCTTATTTTCAGTGGTCAGTGTTATTTGCAGATATTAGTCTTGGATTATCTTCCTTGCTTGAAGCAACAAGTTAAGATACTAAATTTATTCTCTGATTCACCTTTTTTATTCCTTCAATCTCAGAAATGTTTCTCTAAGTAGCTTTGGTAAAGCATGAGTGACTTTCCCATCTAGTTGAGTTACTGAAGTGCATAGTTCCTTGAAAATACTCCACTGACTCATCTACTGAAAAAAATAGTTAGATTTAAAATGAATGTCCATGATAAGAGGTTTAATTTTTACTTTCTTATCCTTCAGATGAATGCATATAAAAATGCGAATAGGTATAAGTTTTAGAAATAAGATTCATGGTTTCTTTGTGTCTGCACAGCAGCCCTTGCTAAATCACTTTCCTATGTGACACTTAGTGTAAAAATCAGCCTGAAATAACCTGCCTGAAAAAATTATTTTTCATAAGTTAAGTCCTGACAAAAAGTAAATAGGAAAATTTACAGAATACCTTCAAAACAAAAGGTAATAGTTCTAAACAGTAGGATTCTAAATAGTAGAATGAACAGCAGCCAATTGTAAATAGTGTGAGGAAATGAGCATTGGAGATAATATTGCACTTTGAGCAACAGGGATGGGGTAAAGCAGCCCAGTCCTAATAATTGTGGCCCTTAATAAGGGAATGGGGATGATATCTTGACCCTTTTTTTCTAGATTTATATTACTGTTCTGACCTTGCATTCCTTCAGTTGAAGGAGAGTAGTGTTCAATATGCTCAGATACATGAATGAAAATCAGGTTGTACTCACAGCTTTGGGACAGAGAGCAAACGTACTGAACATAAGAAGTAATCTAGATCCAGAAGTGTCTCACTGCAAGACTTGTTAAAATTACCAGCGGACCCTGGTTTTAGTCACTTTGAAACTAGAAATATACAAATAAATGGAATTGTGCATATGCTTACCTGTTTTATAAGGCTATACATGAAACAGGAATAAGTGGGGAAGCTCATGCTGTTTGCTTGTTCAACCTACCACATTCTAGTTTTGTTTGATGCCTCTTCTAGTAGTACTGGTGCAGTGAGTGATCATTCCTTTATTCACCTTCTGCATTTCATTAGGGAATTTTGAAAACTTCTATGGTATTCTCACAGCGATATTCAGCCCAAAGGCCTCTAATCTCTGTAATTGCTGTTTTTTATTGAAATTGTTCTTGGTTTTCACACCCTCTGATGTATTTTTTTCCTTTCTTCTTGTCCTCTCATCTCAGAAAGAATACAGAGCTGCAAACAGCACCTAGGATGTGTGCACTGTGGATTGATGTAGTGGCATAGTGATTCTGTTTTCTGTTCGTCTAATAATTTCCAGTAGTTTGTTTTGGCTCTTGATGAGCACTGAGCTGAAATTTTCATAAATCTACCTTTAGTGACCACAGAATCTCACTTCTTAGTGGTAGAAATGACTTGGAACCTGGTATGTGTAAAAACACATTTGCTTCTCCATCGTCATCATTACTTTACCAAAGAGATGATAACAAGGCAGGTGAGAGCGTAGTGTGAAATGGGAATTACAAGTTTTAGCAGGCAGCCCACAGGTTTATTGTCCAAGGCTGAGCAGCCAGCAGGTTTCTGCAGCTCGCTATGTGCCAGCTCCTTCACTCAGCGGTGCAGCTCGGGCATCACTGACTTGCCAGATGGGACTGTGCTGGTCCCCCCAGTTCTTTCTGAAAGGATTTGTTTTCATTTACTCATTTGTTGGTGTATTCTTCTCTTAAGTGGGGGAGCCCCTGGTGGTCTAGTGGTTAAGGATGCGGTGCTGTCACTGCCGAGGCCCGGGTTCGATTCCTGGTCAAGGCCTCTCCCTGGGCAGATGGAGCTTGTTAGCCCTGGAAGGCAATCCATCTACGTCCTGAGGACCTCGCTGCCACCGTCCAAGCTCACTTGGCCCTGGCAGATGAACCTTAGGATTAAAGGGTGGATTCAGTTCCGCGCACACTGTGTCTCACCTAAAGTGCAAAGACCTTCCCTGGTTCTTCATTCACGAAGCCTGGCCATTATTATTACTTCTCCTAACTAGGTTTATGGCAATTACCTTTTTTCTTCCCTAGTGAGGTAGGTTGTATTCTGCTATTCCACAGCTGTGGACTTTGCCACACAATGATGCTCTTGAAAAATGCTGTGGTAGCTCCAGTTTGGAACCATAGAATTATTTTTTATAGGCAACCCAGTTCTTGCAGTTTGGGATGCTACAGGTGTGAAGAAAAGAAAGAAAAAATACAATTGTTTTACTATGAACTGTTGTTTTAATTGCAGAAGTAAGTGCGTCTGTAGTGTGGTTTACTGACTGAAACATTTTATTTCATCATTTAGTTTAAAATTCTTCTTTTTCTTCCCCAAATTTCAATTATTTCTGCAACATAAAATATGGACTTTTATTTAGATATTCCAGAAATAATGAAATGATACTTGCTTGTATCATTGACTCTAAATGAGGAAATGCTGCAGGGAACCAAGTAACTTCTGAGTTTCACTGAAAGTGCTTTGGCAGCTGATTTGGGAAAGCAGTATCAGATCCTGCTACATCAGAGATAGTATTAAAAGAGTTCACTTTAAAGCTTTAGTTATTTGTGTGGAGCTGGTGCCTATTACTTCTCCACATGTAATGTTTCTTAACTCATTACAGGAAGTTTTAATTTAAGCGATGTGATAACAATAGCAGAGAGAACGTTCTAATACTAAACCCCTTAAGAAGGGGTGTCATCACTAAGGAATATTCTTGGTGTTAACATTCCTTTGAGATGCAATTGGCTTCATAGGGTGTGTTGAAGAAGTTCTCCTTCTGCTTCCTTTTGAGTGAGGATGAAGTACTGGTATGGGAAGGCTTTCAAAGTTTTTGCTGCTGGGAGGAATGGGTATCTGTGGCATAGTTGTTTACATGCTGGGTTTGTATGTAAACCATTTACAGTCTTCTTCCATTATTCATCATCTCCCTTGCTTCCACAGGAAATGAGTTGGTTATCTTCCTGGCTGACCAGAAGGAACCCTACTTCAAGCCCCGTGTTAAGTTACCAATGAAGTAAGTACTGCTATTCAACACTGAGAAAATGTAGGTGGCTGTTTTTCTTGCAGGTGCCCCTCTGCAATCAGTGAGAATGTTATAGAATTGTCTGTGCTGCTGTTATCTGTTTGACTTATTCAGCTTGCCCTTAGAGCTCCAATTCTTTGGCCAGTTTCCTGATTAATTTCCTGATATATTTTTGATTTGATTTCTTTGGATTGTGTTGGTCAGATGACAGTTTGTGGAGGTGACTTTTGTCATTCATGTTCTTTACTAATAGGTGTGACTTCCCACTCCCTTATGGAATCTTTATTCTTTGGGGGTTTTTGTCCTCAAATTAGCATTTAAAATACCCATATGTTAAAATATTTTTGTAGCTGATTTGGATTTTCAGGATTTTATTCCCTAGTAAAATAAACTATCATTTCATATCATGTGTTAAGTCTTTGTGGCAGGTAGTTCTGGTCTCAGTCCCAAGACATGTTTTCAGGGAAATTCACCTAGTTACTGTAGCTACTAATGGAATCCAGCCTGTATCATCTGCTTTAGGAGAGATATGAAGAATAGTGTTCTGGTATTTCTATCTAGAGATCTACTCCTTTATTGAGTTCAAATGTGGCTTTTAAAAAGGCATCAATTTTTAATAAATGTAAAACAATCTGTTTATGTACGTATATACGCATAATTTTAACATCCTGCAATACTGTGATGGTTATTGCTTATGAATCATGCTTATTAATGGTATTATGTTTAAATTGCTGTTTGAGATTAGCTTCATCTTCAGCAGTTCTACATATTTTTGTTTTTCCTTATTCCCTCATGCCTTGGAAGGAGCTAATTTGTTTAGTGCATTAGAAATGATCTGTTTTTAATCCTTAACAGAATGATCAATGGTTGTGTGTGTAAAGCAGAGCCTGAGTAGGTAGCCAAATAAAAGATAGAAAGAACAAACAAATGTAGGGAGGAGTGGTAAGACGTGGCAGAACGTAGAAGGAAATGACAATGTCTTTTGAAAAGTCTCCTTATGTGTCTGAATCCTCCTTTTAAACTGTTCCTTGTTGCTTTATGGAATGCTCATGGAATGCAACCAAAAGATCCTGCTCACTGAAATGCAGTTTTGAGGAGTGGTTCTACAGCAAATGAAGGGTTTTAATGGATCTAGATAGTATTAATGAATGGGATATGGCTGGAGAAAGCCTGATAACTGAAGTTTGGAGTTAAAAACCTCATCTTCCTTAGACAAGGACAGCCTGCCAGAGTTACTTTTGCAATAGATAAGGACTTTATAATAAGCCAGGTTGTTGAAGGATATTACTGTGTTGGGCCAACTAATAATAATTGGGCAAGCCTTTGGACACACAAGTGCTTTGCATTTAATTTCCTTTTGAATTCCAGATCCCTGGGTGTTACCATAACCAGTGTAGTTCCTGGAGATTATGATGGAGATTCCCAAATGGATGTCCTTCTGACTACCCAGGCACAAAGTCATGGCAGAGATGAACTTTCAGTGTTTATTTTCTGGGGACACAACCAAACATTAGGTGAGTTGCTGAGACTGCTCATTAACAGGATTGTTAGACTTGAAGTATTGTCAGCAAGTTACAACTCATTTTACAGTGTAGTGATTTTTACAGCTAAAATAGGGATTAGCAGCTCTTCAGTTTCACACCCTTATATTATCTTGCTCTTAAACTGTATTCAATAATTGATGAAAGAGAACAAAACACACTGTATCATGCAACAGACATAACAAAAAATATTTTAGTTTGGCAGTAACATAATAACTGAAGAGCTTCTTCTCATGGCTTCCCTGTTGTCCATGTCAGCGTCACAAAGATGATCTCAAAAGATTTATCTTCAATTTTAAATGCACAGAGAACTTGGTGTAAACTTTAGTGCATAAACTTTCAAAATAGCACACCTAAACCTACCAACTGTGATATAACACTTATTTCTGTTAAATCAAATCTCTGAAGACAGTGAGACACTAAAGTAGGTATTGGAAGAGAGGTTTCTAGATTGTCTATTGCTGGATGTTTCAAGAAATTTAGAATCAAGATTTCAAGAGTCTCTTAGCTGTGTTCTAGGTATAGCTGATTCTGTCTTTGGGTGGAGTCATGGACTGTGTGAACTTGTGAGGGCTCTTCTGTCTTCTTTTGACTTTTCTAGGAAAGGGTTTTGGGAAGAGTTTAGGGTTTGAGCAAGGACAGATGAGCAAAATAAGATACTCTTCAAATCCACAAAAACTACTGAAGAATAAACACTCTTGCAAACAACTGTGTTATGAAATAGTTACAGATAGGCAAGTGATGGCTTTAGATACCATTGCTTCTGACTTTAATCAGGGGTGAAACAAGGAACCCATGAAAGTGCAATGGATGAAATACTAAGAGAACAGCAGATGTCTCTAGTATTTGAAAGAATATGAATGACTTTAATTAATATATGCTGTGTTGCTTCTGGAAAAACATCTGGAGAGGAATAAATGAGCATTTGAGGCCTGGGAAAGGAGTCAGAGGTTAAAAACTGGGGCAATGGTTGGTATGTAGTGAGGCTACTGAGAAGGTATGTGGTGCCTTCGTGGGTAATAGAAGGGTGACAAGTCAGTAAGAGAGTACTGGTGTGTAAAATGTGGAAATTGTAAAGGGAAACATCGTGGAGAGAGGAGAGAAATAAGGATGGTCTGGCAAGGAGTTTGGATTACAAGTAGAAGTCAGGTGTAAGGTGATAACCTGATTAGGACTTAAAATCCTCACTCCACACTTAGGCACACTACCTCTAATGCTTATTTCAAATACTCAGTGTATATAATTAATGTTTTTTACAGTGGCAAAACATTAAACAGAAGTCAAACATACAGTGTCAATTTTTAGCCTGTCTTCATCCCAGCTATTGCAGATTTCGTGTCTGCATGCTTGCAGTCGTGCATAGAAATAGATTTCACTAAGATCTATTTAGAATGATTTGTTGAAGAGTTCAGTGAAGAGAGAAGAAACTTCAGTATTTTAACTGTAACTTTCCTGCAGATTTTCAAGAAGCCATTTAGTCGTTTATACTCAACGGTTCCTGATGTTTTTAATCATAAAATTCATGGTTGTAAATTAATGGAATAATTATGTCTTAGTTGAAAATGCAAATGTCACAATATATTGGTAATTGAATCAAGTTAATATTTTCTGTTTTCAGATCTTAACCATAGAACTATGTTAAATAAGACTTTTCACGATGAACCTCTAGTAATGGAGTAAGTATGACCTACTTTTTTTTTAAAAACACAATTATAGTGGTGACTAAGAGCCACTTAAATGTATTTTAATGCTAAAATTTGAAACAGATGCCCTTTATGCCCTTTAAGAGCAGGATGGTTTGTGTAATGTCAACTGATCCAACTAAAGATGAAGAACCATAACACTCATCTTTATAAATTCCTATGTGTTATATCATCCTGGCAATAATAACTACATGAGCTTTTAATTTTTTTAATTTCAGTACTCAAATTTATGCAGAAAAAGGAGCCATTCATTTTTTAGTGAATTTTATAAAGCAAAAACCTTGCTGGCTCATCAGACTGAGCAAATATCCCCTTCATAATGTACTTGCCTCTGTGTGAAATGCTGAACAAAAGCAGGGGTGGGAAATAGAGCTGGAAAGCCAAACCCACTGAAAGATATTTACTGCTCCCAGCAGCTCAGACAGGAGCCAAAATTCAGTCCGGTCTGTGCAGCTGAGAGTCCTGCGTTACTTGGTGGGAAAATGCTGTCCAAGTACAGGTTGACTTAAGAACAGTTAATTTGAACTCCTGTAATGACTGAGATGATTCTGAAATTGTTTCCCATTTTCAGCTTTAACGGAGACTTGATTCCTGATGTCTTTGGTGTCACCAGCGATTCAAACAAGCCACAGATACTGATTGGCGGGTGAGCTCCGGGGTTGTTCATTAGCCTCTGATAGAATTTTCTCTCGATTGTGAAAGAATGTGCTCAAAATATAACAGAACTATTTTTAGGTGAAAGTTGTATTATAAATGTCAAAAACAGTCTTTTTATGTGTTTGGTTTTTTTTTTAAACTATTCTCTCTTGACTGACAATGAATGAATGGAAAAATTAGAAACAGAAACAGAACTTACGGGGTTTTTAGAGGATTGGACCTTTAAATTCGTTACTTGAAGAAATTTGCATCTTGTAACTTGTATTTTGCAGCTTTTAAGTGGAACTATTAGGGTTATCCTTAATGGTGTTCAGTAACATTAACAAAGAATCTTGCAACTCTGTGTGTTTGAGAAGAAATCCAAGTTGGTGTCACAGCTTCTTTAGCTTTGCATACAATCAGTCCTTAAGTTTATTTTGAAAGAAAGAGTGTATTAAAAAGTCTTTGCATTCCTATGTGGTTTTCTTCAGCGGAGAAATGAATGAAACCATTTCTCTGTCTATGGCAGCACCATACCAGCTTTCTATCCTGCTTCCCCATGTCCCTTAGAAATGTTTAAATAAGGCTTTCCTCACACACCCCATCAGTGAGTTTAACAAATCTATACCTGTTGTTCCTAACTGGCTATTTTCCTTCCATTGGAGATGATTCAGAAGTGATGTAGGGTAAATAACCTTTAAATGTGTAAATGGAAATGATACCCTTCCTGGCAATATGGTTTTGATAATAAATCCCAACTTGAATTTTATCACCCTACTTTTGTTTAAATTAATGGCTTATGAAACAGATTTCAGAATCACAAGGATGTTTCTGAACCCTTTGAAATGATTATATATTGAAAAATTATATGAACTCTTGAAGATATGGAGAAGTGGAAAAGATTTGTTTCATTTTGTTGAAGAAATCCTTTCAGTAGCATTAGCATACAAATAAACTTACTCATTGTAGCTCAGAATAAGACTGAGTGCTATAGATAATAGCATAAGCCATGGCTTCTACATGGATAACAGCTTTATGTCATCTGCTTAGAAAAGCATTTTTCCATTTGTAATCTAAAATTTATTCTAGAGCTGTATAGCTAACTTCCCTGGCTGCTTTCAAAAATGAATACACAGAAAAACCTAGAGAAAATGTTTAATTATTTCTTCAAGATTACGTGATGCATTTGAACATTTCTAAGATTCCAGTTGTGATCCCTGGGAAGTCATCAGAGCCTTATTTTTTTGCTTAACATAAAATGAGTCACAGAAGATAAGGACTTCAGTAAAATGGATGTAACGTCACTGGAATAAAAAAAATTATTCTAGGCATAGTAATATCACTGTCCTGCTGGTGTATGGTGCATATTGAGATTTTTCAGAGTGTGTTAGCTAATGGTTCTGAAAGCAGCATACCAGTGATTCAGCAATGATGACTTCTGAAGGATTTGTTGCATTTCAAATCGTTGCTAATAGAGAGGTTTGATGGAAGTTAATTCATTTTTAGAGCAGAAACCAGCAGGGCATGTATGTTTATAAATAAATAAATAGAAGTATCACCTGCTTGGTAAATAACATCATTGGCCTGTAGTCCATCATAATGTGAGAGTTTAATTCATGTGTTGATTTTGAAGTGATTTGAAATAACGTGCATTTCCATGCAGCAGGTATGAGCTGCTGTAGCAGCATGTGAACCCTTTTGCTCATGTTTATTAATCAGAGGCTACATTCCAGAAGTACTTCCAGAATTAAAACTGCTAGAGGAAACTGTCCCAGGAAGGGCAGGAATCAGTGACTCAGGATTTACAGTTCAAGCCTAGGCACTAATTAGCACTTTGTGGGTGGTGATACTTTTCTGTGGAGGAAAAAAAAAAAAAAAAAAGGAAGTTGCTTTAGAAAGTTAATAAAATTGAGCTGGAGCCCCTGTGCTGTGAATCATCCTTCACAGAACCTTTCAAGCAATTACTCTTAGTTACTTGGTATATTGTAAGCTAAGTAGTAATTTTATCTTGGTATTAGGAGAACATGCTTTCTGTCCAATTTTATTTAAAGTTTCTCCATTTTTTAAAGCTATATTATCATGATTAACAGTCCCCGCACATTGCTGAAATGTATTCCTTTCTCTTCCTGTCTGTAGGAATTTGTCATGGCATGCTGCTCTGGAAACTCAGAGTAAAATGTATATACCACACTCCCATGCTTTTATAGATTTAAATAAGGACTTCACTGCTGGTAAGTCATAAAAGTGTTAAATACCTTCCTAAAAATATTCATCAGTAAGTATACAATGTAATGTGTTGCTATTTCCTTTGGTAATTATGTGAATTTGCTACTTCTAATTTCTTTTTAAATTATTTTAGTATCTAGAATTTAAAAATTCTGGGTTTAAAAAACTACTTTCAAAATTAATAGCCTAATAAAGTTTTCTACTTCTTGCTGATGCTCAGCGCTAATGCTTGTTGTGATTAATGTTGTGTTCATCATTAAAGCCTCGTTTCCTGCTCTTCACAGTGCTGTACTCTGCTGTTCAGCTGGCAGTGGATCAGGGCTGCATTTTCTTCATCTCGAGTCTGAAAACAGTTTGATAGTTTGATGCAGGAGAATGTTTTCAAGACCAGACTTACAATTTTTCTTTAAGATTTCAATATGACTTTTTTCTGGTCTGTTGTAGTTGGTTCTATCACTGATGGAGTAAATGGCACATCATTCTTGTATCACTATATGAGCAATCCTGTAACCTGTTCAGAGCTCAGAGTTCAGGGCTGAGCACTGCAGACAATGTTTCTTGTGGTAGATAAACTATATTCTTCCTTCATTTTCTTTGGGGGCTTGGGGGTTTCCTTTTGTGATTGCAGTTCATTTACCATGATGAATCTATTTCGTACTTACATACTCTTTCATACCTCCAAGCACATTTAAATATCATGCTAAACACACTAAATGAATTCTGAATTGTTTTGCTAGATGTGCAATGGACATCAATTCATATATGGTAATTTTGGGAAAGAGAGTTTATCTTTTTCTTCTTTAGTTGCATGGGAATGAGAGAGGAAAGAGTCCATAAATTTAATTAAGATGCTTATAAATGTTGGGGATTAAGTTAATTGCTTTAGCATGCAGTCAGACCTTAATATTCAGTTCTGGCACGTTGCTACATGAAGCTGTCAAGTGGAAATTCCAACTGGAAAAGTAGATACATGCTTGCTTACCATAATCAGTGTCATGTAATAAGCAATTCTAACACACTCAGCTCTAGAGGTCTTTTGGAATTTTGTTTTAGTGGCACAAGCAGCATAGATGAGCATTCCAGGTAGCATTTTAAGCTGAGTACATTGAAATCAAAACTCACAGGAAGGTAAAGGTAGGAAGTCTAAGTTGCTTATACAGATCAGTCACAGATGGATCCATTTCTGAGGTTTCTGACAGCGGACAGACTAAAGAATGTTCACAGAATTCCAGATAGTGCTAGTGATATGTGGAATTTTCTCTATTAAATAGAAATGAAAGTCAGGGTCTTTGTATGGAGAGTGCTGGGAGCTTTTATAGATTCACATCTATTTTCATATCTCAAGATGTGAGTAGAAGCCTCTATGAGGCTCTTCCCATAAAGATCCTGACTTGTACGTGCTTGTAGCAGCAAGGATAAAACACCTTGGGCTGAAATACTGCATTACAGTGTAATGGGGAGCTCTGTGGGAAGTGTTATGTTACAGCAACCTGAGGAAAATATTAAGAAAAATAATTCATACTGAGAAGAAAACTGGAGAAAATATTACCATAGAATTATTTTCTTTAAAGTAATGTTTTGCTTCTAAGATGGAAGTGATAATTTTTTTTTACTATCCCCGTGAAAATGGAACCAACTGGGAATAAGACATATGTTGCTGAAAAATAATATCAGTATATCTGATGTTTCATGGCTGATGTGTTTTTCCAAGACTGTTTGCTGCCAGAATGGAAAGTCACCATTCGTCTGGTCCTACCTGTGCATTTATGACACTTCCCTCACATCAGCTCCAGTAACTGCTTGGAACTGGGGCTGGTGAGGAACACAGTTTATTTTCACTTGAGTTATTAAGGTGATCCAACTCACCATGCAGCTTCAGGAGTGTCAGAGCCGATGTAAGCACTGGGAAAAGGTTCACTCCTCTTTTCGTAGCAGCAGTCATTGCCTGCCTTTAACCAAGCATAAAATTGCACCTTCGGTTTCATTGTGCCTCTTCCAAAAAATACCTGCACAGTGTTCTCGCCACATCTCCTGTAATTTGTTAGTCTGTGCAGAGCTGGGCAAGTGACTCATAGAAGCATCAGGTGATAGAAGGTAAGAAAAAAAACAACAGAGCTCTGTGCAGCCTGGACAGACCTTGCAGAAGACACGTAAATGCCTCTCCTGCTTGTTTAGCTCTGCTCCCTGTCAGCACAGCTGGGCAGCGTGGCAAGGAGAGTGGGATCCATATGGTGCTGTTTCTCCATGGAGGCTGCTCCTTACTGGTTGGCTCAGGTAGAGCTGGTGAGGAGGAGAGGATCCTTGTGACTCAGTACTCACCCACACAGCCATTCTTGAGCTGGAATGAAGCCTCATTAAGAAGAGGGCCTGGGACACATTGGAATGGTATTAATTAAAAGGGAGGCGTTGACAAGATGCAAGGGAATAGTCTGCCTGCTGAAATCATCTTGCCCAAAAGGCTTAATTGTGATATTTGATGCTCTTGTGATACCTTTGCACTGAAAAATTCAGCGTATTTACTCACAGTCAGCCCTACTATTCATGGACATGGAGATACAGTTGTACCTAAAATGAATGCAGTGATTTTTGTTTACAAATAAAAAAACCAAACCACCAGAATATGCCATTTTTACTTTGTTTTGGGTGGTTTTTAAGACTTTTCTCTAATGTTCTGCAATGTTTTGAGGCTCTTTGTATTCTGTAACAGATGCAGCCAATTTCATGATTTTTAGCTGGGCTATTTTTGGCAACTCTATCATTATAAACAGCTTAGGAGATTTAAAGCGTGCTTGACATTAAAAAAAGAAAAAAGGAAAACAAAAAAAGAAAAAAAAAAAAAAAAAAAGAAAAAATCCTCTCTGGGCTGAGGAGCTTTTTTGCTAGTTTATTGCCTAACCCATTTTCAACCTGCTGATATTAAACCCTCCAAACAGAGCTTTTAATTGCCACACTTCTCCTGCTCTGGGTAAAATGAAGTTGAATTGTTATGATTTCATTATATGAGAACTTGCTCATAAAGATGTGTTTAATCCCTAACAGTGCTTCATGAAAGGCTAACAGTGTAAGGATTTTATAATCCAAAAATCCTCTAACCACAACAAAGATAATACTAATCTTTCTTGGTGCGGGGTAAACTGGGCTGTTTCAGAGAGTAATGCTGTTTTTAAAGAAAGCATCCTCATGGAGAAGTCTCAGCTCCTTATTATTCATTCAGTAAGTAATTCTGAGTTAAACCGGGAACTTTGTACAAACCATGCAAAAATTTGCAGTATAAAACTCTTACCAAGGGGTCTGCATGTGCTTTATGGATAAAGATTAACTAAATAAAAAAACTTTCAAGTGTCTTTGCATGTGTATTAGGCACGTGTTGCTCCAGGGAGGAGTATCTGGTTCACAGAGTGCCTGAGCTGGGAAGAGATGTCTGGAAATAGTCTGGTCAACCAACCTACCATCACTGTCACTGCTGATACATGAACTGAGATAGAGTGAAAGATGAGGAGAAAATGATGAGTTAGAATAAGGCTACTGGGTGTCTAGTAATACATACTCACACTTGTCATTAGTTACCTTTAACAGCTGCCTTAGGAAGGTAATGTTGAAGCTAATAATAATAGGCTTGTTTGACCAGATTAAATCAGGTGTATTTTATAGACCAGATAGTCCAGGTGAGCATTTCCAAAGCAGGATGCTCAAGTAAGAGACCTGTCTTAAAAATGTCACATCCCCAAAGTGAAAAATTTGCATCATGTGACTTAAGAAGGATTTGTAGAATATGTTTAACTCTTTTGATTTTAGTGAAGGAGGTAAAAAGCAACTTCTCTTTGCATTAGTCCACTCAATCCAAAGTAAGAAGGGACTCAGTGTTTCTCAGCAATGTGTCTTGGATGTGTCATTTAAGAGGTGCAGAGAACACTGGTCAGTGGAGGAAACTCTGCTGGCAAGATGGTCACTACACTGAAGGTTTTACACTGAACCGTGGGGAAAAGGTGTCATAGCTGGAAACTGGGGCCAAGGTACGTGAAAGGACTTGATAAAGACCACCCAGAAATGATGTCGAGGTGGGCACCAGTGCAGGTGATCTGTTTGAAGCTGGGCTTACACAGACACTGTTTGTGCTGTTGTTGATTTGCATCACAGTCAGAGTTTTCACTTCAGTACTTTGGACCGAGCTGAGATTTAAATTTAGCGTGATTAGACTGTCTCAACATAAGTTCTCATAGGTGTATCAAGTGATTTTTCTGCAGTTGAAATTTTTAGGATAGTGATTATTTTGCTGTGTCATTTTTTTTCTATTGAGTTAATTATTAATTAACTAATTACTCTTATTTTAAACATCCTAAAATGTCAGATGTTCATTTAGGGATAATGCTGTGTTTCTAAGCCAAAATTCGTAGTTCCTAATTACTTGGAGAGAAAAAAAAGATTATTAAATAATAAATATGTCTGCGTTCAAAAATACAAGCCCTCTGCCAAGAAATCAGGCCATGGTCCTACAAGGGCTTTTGAAATGCTTAAATGTATGAGACAAGCTGCCTTGGGCTCTGAATTATACTGTAACCTCATACTGTACATCTGTCAATGCATCCTTGAATGCTGTGAAAAACAGCTGATGTATTAAATATTCTGTGTCTAACTTGGTTATGTGATTCCAAAGTTTGGAAGTGCTGCTTTTACAACCAGTCTTGTGTTGAACACTAGCACGTGGTGTGTATAATTGTAGATATTTCTGGAACTGTTTATATAATATGAAGGAAAAATCATAAATTTAGGTTTGGGAAAACTAAAGTGGAAAAATCATTAGTCAGAAACAGCTTGCTGTAAGCTAATTGCAGTCTCTTTACTGATTTCTGGTGGTTAATTTTCTTATGTTGCTTTGCTTTGGGAATCTAGAAACCTAATGTACCAGAACGTTCACAATGTGTTTTCTTTTTTATTCCCAATTCTTAGTTTAAATGTGTAAATGTAGATAGTTTTCTTCTTGAGAAACAATCATTCAGATCGCAGGTGATATTTCTCTTGTAAGCATTTAAACCTGGATTGTGAAGATACTGGAACATTTGATGCCAGGCTCTGGTTATGTATTCAATGAGTTTCCTCTGCATGGAAGCTGGAGGCCTCTCTGCAGTTAATGTTATCAACAAAGCTTATTTTATACAATAGGTGGGCATTTATTCTCTATGAAAATAACCAGGCTAACAAATTATTTGGCTTTTTAAAACTTAGCTTGAGTAGCATTTTAAAACTTGGGTGGGGGATGTGTTTACTCTCTCTGGGTTTGCTCCTTCCTTTCTGTTGTTTCCCAGAACAAATATTCAGTGATGATGTCACTGTGTCATTCCTCGAACAGCTACATTTTTTACATTTCTTAGCTGTTTTAAACTCTGATAATGGAGCTTACCTGTGAATTTACAGCAAGTAACAGAGGCAAAAAATGTATTATATAAGATGGACAGGATATATTTCAGAGGAGTTGGAAGTTGGAATTAGCTGCATCTGCTCCTGCTGGGATTGCTCTGCTCTTGCCAATGGCTTCTCTTACTCATAGCTTACCTCACAAAGAGAAAAAAAATGAGTAGAGATCTTTAGAGAAAAGAAATAGCTGTTTTAACTTCTTTTTCCTAATCTTTCTAAAAGAGCCCATAATCTCTGCTGTGTGCTTAGCAGTTTTAGTTTTAAAATTGCCATTATGAAGCGTCTCAAAAGCTATTCCTTTTGCAATTTTTAATTATATACTGATATAATTATATACAGTTGGGGATAATAATATGACATTTTTATGGGAATCAGTAGCTTACTACAGGTGAGAAGTAAATTGGTTGTGCCACAAACAACATTGTTTTGAGAAAGCATGAATGTGAAAATGGGTTCTGAAAGCACTCTGAACACTGAGCAGTTATATTCTATTGCTTGAAACAGTATCATTGCCTTTATTCTGAAAATTAACAGAATTGTCTGAAAGTCATGTTTGAAGTGCTAAAAGAAGCATAACTATAAAGCATAGATCTAATTTAAAAGTTTTCCAGTTAAGTGATTCTTTTAAATTAATATCCTATAGTAAGTTGTAATAATGAAAGGGATTTTACTTCTTAGGTATGTTGTTTATAATTGTTCATCGTGTTTTGCTAAATAGTTCCAGTAAACACTTACTAAATCTTGAAAGGCCTGTTTGAACAGAATAAATTCACAATCTTTTTATTGAAAGCACATTTCTTAAAAATTGACCAACACAAATTAACTTGTTTGGAACATTTGAAGTCTTTTTGTTTTGCTTAAGTTTTTCAGGAGAGGAAGCTACTGGAGGGAATGTTTCTTTAACTTTCTGTTTTGTGTAACCAGCATCAAAAATTCATGACCAGTAAATTGCAAGCTCATTAGCATTGGGCCTTGTACTTGTATCTGTGTTATAAAAGCTACATCACCATAGCCAGGCATGTTCATCCCCCAGAGCAGCTTCTGGTTAGCGAATATGCACAGACACACCTGTTCTTCCACCTTAATGAGAGCATTTTTAGGCATGTTTTGAGTGAGCATAAATAAATTCTAATTGGGTAATGCCTTGTACATGTTGATAGTGTTTAAAAATAGGGGCAATTTTTTCCCCCCTCCTTTATTAACTTAAACTTCTGAAGTGATTGTGAAATCAAGGAGTAACTTAATGTTGCTCATACCCTGGTGGCTTCTGAAGACAGTCATGGATGCTGAGAGTTTTTATTTTGAAATAAAGCCCTCTGACATTAAACAAAGGTCAGATCAGTCATTAGTGAAATGAATGCTCCATCTATAATTAGTACCATTTTTTATAACACTCAAAAGTGACAGAAAATAACAAGGATAATCAGAAGTGGACTTGGAGCAGGTTCTGTGTAGTTCGGTTTTCTTTTAATTTTCAGTGAGTCCTAATAAGAAAAAAACAATGTTTGGAAGTAGGATGAGTTTGTAATATTACCTGCTTTTTATTTAATAAGATTGTCTGCAGTTGTGGCTGCCCCATCCCTGGAAGTTTTTAAGGCCAGGTTGGACAGGGCTCTAAGAGCAACCTGGTCTAGTGGAATGTGTCCCTGACCCTGGCAGGGGGCTGGAACTGGATGATCTTTAAGATATCTTCTAACCCAAACCCTTCTGGGATAGTTGCAACAGTTCACTTTGCATTTGATTAAGAGCAACCTTTCCTCTCAGGCAGTATTGATTTCTTACTTGCAGCCATTCACTAAGGCTGTAGGTGTTACATTTCAGGAAATCTACCTTAATCTGACATCAAGATCTTCCCCCATCCCAACTCTCAAGTACTTTACTTCCCTTTGCTACATCATATCTCAAGTTAAAGATTTAAGAAATGCCCTGCAGGCTTAGTCTCGTGGTCCATCTAGCTAGCCCAATATTCCTTCTCTGGCAGCAGCAGCAGCAAAGTAGCCAGGCCAATTTTTTTGGTTCTGATATTTTCCTCTTTCTGTTTCATATTTCCATGGTGTATCTCCAGAATCTACAGTTAACATGGGGCTGTTAGAGGCACACCCTTACCTGTCATTTTTTGTATCCCTTAACGTACCTGTTGTCTAGTAAAAGTATCACCTGTAAATGATTGGTTATTGAGCTGCAGATTTTTTGATTTCATTACCTCAGTATCTCACATTGGGCCGTTGTTCTGTTCATCAGCATTTGAACAGCCCTCGGTACTTAGTCCTTGCTTTTTAAACTTAGAGATCTGTATGGAATAGACTTTGTTTTCTACAGCTGAAACTGCAACCTGAACTGCCTTGCAAAGGCACTGTGGCAGTGTATCTTTAGACCAGTGACTTTTCCTGGTCGTGTGTAATGTGATAGGCATTCCTTGTAGGGAAAAGGGGGTGAGTTTTCTTGATATAGCCAGAAACAAAACAGGAATGGTGCGGTTTTCAACATGATTGGTGTTTTAAAGTACAAAAAGTGTAGAAAAGAACTGTGTATGTCTTCATTGTTATGCAACCCAAGAACTGAACATCCAGATACTAATGCATTTGTTGGTTCCATCTCTTCTCCTGCAGCTGTTATATACTAAAGAAATTAGTACTAATCGACATGGAAAGCAATAGCAGTGAAGTGAGAGATGGCTGCCATGGACACTGTTCCTTTGGAAAGAAGATGCTTGCAAGGAGTCTCTGCTATGGCTGTTAGATATTTATAAATAGCAAAGATTCTTAATTGTTTCCTCTCTCATATGCTTTTGGTTCTTGGAGCCAAAAACATAATAAAACCAGAGAAAATCATAAAGTACATTAGGTTGAAAGTAACCTTTGGGAATTACCAGGTCTAGAACACTGTTCCAGACAGGACTTGGTTTTTCTCACACATTTCTTTCACAAACTTGAGGGAAAACATTTGTAATTCTGAGCTCTACCAATTTGTGAACAGTTATTTGAAGGGTCTAAATTCCATTGCCTTTTTGCGCTGCTGCTGCAAAGAAATACTTTGGTTTTGCTTGCTTTTGAAATCTGTGGCATCCTTGATCAAAGAGGAAAATTACTTGTAAATTTTAAGCATTTGATTCGGTTTCAGTGAGAGGGAGTTTAATCCTACAAACAAGCATGAGCATTTTGGACACACAGCTTCTAAGGAGGCTTCAGGATAAAACAGAGGGCAGTTGGCAGTGAGGTGCCAGTGGAATTGTTTCAGCAGGCTCTACAACTAGAGGTGATGTTGCTGTACCTATATTAAGATGTCCTATGGGAAATGGCAGCTTGTTGCTCTGCTGTAGGAGCAGCATGGCACAGCTCCTCTACGCTATTTTTAGAAGATTATCTGCTATCTTCGCCTGCCTTTGCATTCTGCCACTGCAGTGTGATATTACAGCAGCCTTGCAGATGCTCTGGGGTGCCGGTTCCACTTGTCCTATACAATGTTATGTGCCCCAGGTTAGGTTTGGGGGTTTTGCCTGCAAGGAAACCCTTGTGTTCTGTCTCAAATAGTGGCAATTGAAATTACAGAGGGGAAGGGGACAAGTGTTTAAAAGAGTACTGTTCTTAAATCTGGATTTCTTAACACTGGATTTTATTTTTTTTTAATAAAAACTTCTTCTTCCCTTTTTTCTAATTTGTATGCTTTCCTAAATATCAGTGAGTAAGTTCTTCTTTCAGTAGGCAATGCCAGATAAATGGTCTGAAGGCCTCTTTTGCACTCTCTTGATGTTTGAGAGAATTTTAGTGTAAAATATGCCAGAAATATTTCTCCATCAGTGTATCTGCTGCTTAATTCAACATATTCAAAATAAAAGGATAGCTGGTAGGTTTTTGTCTTTAATTTTGACTTCCTAAAAATATAACTGTGTAAACTTTTTTCTAGCTTTGAGGTATGCCTCTGTCTTTACTCTTAAGAAACGTTCTTCAGGGTGCATATATAACATCCAGCACTTCCTAACTCACATGAGAGTAACTTTACTTGTGTTTTAACCTATACAAATGCAAAACTTGTGTACGGAAGAGTATGAGGGATGAAAATAGTTTTGGAGGGGCGTGTTTTTAATGTTTCTTAATATCTTTACATCTCAACGTCACTGGAATAATGCATTTAGAACTTAGGTAATTTTTTAAAAATAATTTATATATCTTTACTAAGTGATCAGATGTATTTGTTTGTGTAGTCTACTGCTAAATATTTTTATTTCTCTTCCATTTTTCCTTGCAGATTTGTTCCTTACTACATCCCCAAATTCCAAAACCATTCAGTTTGAGACGTGGGTAAATAAGGTAAGAGAGAAAACAGAAATGACCCTTATGTTCAAACATGAACAATTTATAAAAACCAAAAAGACATCTGAGAATGGATGCTGAGGCACTGACTGCACCGTTGCATTTACACTGCACAACATTCCTGGGCACCTTTCGCTCAGCACAGGTCCCTCTGCAGATTTTGGAATGTGACTGCTCAGTAAATCAGGTGCCTTCAAACACCTCAGCAGGGCTCCTGTGTGAGGAGCTTACTCACGCTCAGCAGGGTGGTTTAGGAATGAAAGGATGGTCATTTGGGTTTTATTCTTGCTGGTTTTTTGTTGTTTTGGGTTTTTTTTAAGTAAGCTTGGTCTTGGACAGAGGTTCAAAATGTCACTTCTAACTGGTAAAATTTGTGTTCAAGTTACAGTTGAGTCCAGAGTCCTGTGTTAATTAAGTATCATAAATGAAATTCAAGGTTGAGGAGTAATAGCTCGATGGATTAATATTTATTTATTGAGATTCTGCTTTTGCATTGCAGGAGTATCTTTTGTCCTGTGTTACCCAAAAAGGATTGTAGTTAAAAGTTCACCTTTTTCTTACAGTAGAAAGGGCTTAATGTGTTTCTTATTAGCTAAGGAATGAGTTTTTGAGAGTTTACCTGAAAATGTATCCATCATGTCATAGTTAAGTCACTGTAGAACAAAAGATGTAGTCTTGTCTTTGACAACATGGCCATCTTCAACCAGGGAAGAGTAATGAAAGCAGTGAGTCATGAATCCTGTATTTCCAGCTTTATATAGACCTAAATTGACAGGCATTGAGTTTTAGTGACTAAACAAGACATTTGTGCTCTCTCTTGTTGTTTGGTTTTTTTTTAATGTTCTTACAAATTTTGGACTCCTGTATTCTAAATATTATCTTTCATTATATATTTTGTATGGATAGATTTGTTTGTCTTTAGAAAGAAAGAATTCTGTTCTTTGGAATCAATCAACCCAGTAAAATAGGTCATACATATAAAATACATGTACATATATGTGAATCTTAAAATACCTTAATTGATCCATTAAAAGCTGTTAAATTGCTCTCTGTAGAACAAAGCAATTCTCTTCACTGATGCACTCGTGCTTTTAAAATATTTGCCCATATGAGATATGAGGGGCTGAGTACAGGGCCTAGTCTTTTTTACTGCGTGGAAATGCATCAATTTTATTTTTTTAATCATTATAAATTATATGTCAAGGTAAAGATATTTAGTCAGACATCCAGTACAAACAACAACTGAGTGTGTGCAGAGTTGCATCGAAGCCTACAAACTGAATATGACATGAGTCATGTTGGATGTGGATAACTGTGCACTATTCCCAAAGCCTTTGTCTCCTTCCTCTCTGGTATCTGTGTGGACAGCACTGTGCATGTGCTGACTGCACTGACTGGGCCAGGGGGCTTTGGGTCATCTGACATGGCTACAAAAACTCAACATTTTAAAATGGGCTTGTTCCAGTTGTGATGCAGTTCTGTGATAAACAACGATCCGGTGCCTTTTGTCCTTCTGATGAAATACTGGACTATTGTTTTCTGTGGGCCTAGATTTTAATAATAGGTAATTAAAACAAGATCTAAATCAGATCTAATGTCAAATCAGTTTATTTCCTAATTAGAAGGCAGTTCAGAAGCTATTTTTAACAGGTGTGCAGCTGTGGTTTTATATATTAGTTATATCAATAAAATCACATAAATATGCATAAATGCACATTAGTATTCATAATCACTTAATTATGATTTAGATAATGCTGCTGAAATAACCCAATCTCTTCCTCTTAACACAGCAAAATAAATGGAAATTGTGTCTAAATATTACTATTGCTGGACTTCCATAAGACTCCATGAAGGATTAGAAATGTAAAAGCTCAGTCCCAATTTTGAAAGAGTCCTTTTTTTGTTGTTTTTCTGTAGCTGAGATGTCTCTCTACTATTAAATTGCATCTTTATTGATCTATATTTTCTTTGGTTCGAAAGTCAAATTTCATCACTTAGACTGCAATTCAGTTTTTCCGTCATCTTTGTCCTCTTTGATAGGATGGGAACTTCACTAAAGCTGGAAAAAGTAAGGAAATGCCAAGTGGTGCGAAAGTTGTTGGACAGTCCGTGTTTGCAGATTTTGGTGAGTTTTATTCTTCCACACTAATCCTGAGTGTTTCTTTATTTTCCATATTTTGTTAGATACTTTACACTGAAGAACAAATAAAGATGTTTAAGTGGGTTTTATGTTTCCCTGCTTTTTTCTAATAGGTGTTTGTTTTATCTGTAAATCTTGAAATATCTGGGAATAATTGTTAATGAATTCAGCTTTGACTGTCCCAGTACATTTTGCATCACATGTATCTATCTACATTTTATTGCTTTGAGGTGTGGTACAAGACCAAACTTTTACCAGACATGGGTTTTTTGCCAAGATTTTATTTTTTCCCCAAATCTTGTTCAGAAGGTGTTATCTGAATAAATGGTCATAAATTCTTCACTTGTACAATTTAATAAGGACCAAATGTAAATTACTGAATTATTTGAATAAAGATTGCTGGAACATGGTGAAATCTTAATGGTTGTAATTGAAAATTTTGAAAGACTTTTGGACAGGCGAAAAATTTCATTTATATGTAAATCTATTTTTGCAAGGTAAGTGAAAGCCTGTATTTTTCTATTAGCCAGTCAATTGTGGCTAATAGAAAAATTGTCAATATGTGTGTTTGGTTACAGAGAATAGAGAATGTTGATTATGTAGTCCAAAAAATACTATTTGTCTGTGCAGTTAAATAACAATTTTCCATTCCAAGGGAAAATGCTTTGGGCCTGATTCTGCTGCTGTGACTGGATGTAAAGAAATTCATAAAAAACTAATTTACTGCATTTATACAACACATTTCCTAATTGAGAGACTGAGCCTGTCTTTAAATGTTGTCAAACCAGAGCCTTGTTATATCATTTTTCTTTTAAAATATGTTTTAAAGAAAATGGCAGGTTTTAAAGTTCTTAGACCCAGAATGTGACCCTCTTGCTGCCACTTAAAAGGGTTCTGAGGAGTTGTAGCAAAGCTCTTCATGGCATGGAACTAGAAGACCCATCTGCTGGGTCAGATCTACAGGGAATAATGGCAGGTAGAACCTGAACCACGCTCCAGGTTCTTCTGTGAAATGTTTGACACGTTTTCAAGAATCTTTGTCAAATTTTTTATAAAATCTTTTGTTGTTTCTCTGCAAATTTGAACACTTACCTATTAAATATGTGAAGGAAAGGATAGAGTACTACAGATTTTACAGATAAAAAAAATGGAATGTCCCGGGGCTTTTGTAGCCACTTTCCACGCTGATGTTCTGGGTAATGTGTCTTAATAGGTATTAAATAGAAAATTTTTTTTCTTAACAATGGCAATGTGGAAAGCTATCTTACTGTAGGATAATTTATCTCTGTGTTAGGTAGCTAATGAGCCCAAATGATACATCGTAATTTTAGAAGTGTATCACAATTAATGGAATTCTAATAAACCCTGGGATGTCTCTGCGAAGAGAAGTGGAACTGTTCAAATGATAAAGTTGAAATTTTGGAAGTATGACTAAATGGAATGTGCAGTGTTTGGTACAGCCAAGGTTATGAAAGGCAGTGGCTGGCACAGATTAGTCTTGGGGGCTGTGGATTTGGAGTTCCATCACCACTTGTTTAATGCCCTGCTCTGCTAATTATCATCAAAGTCATAGGCTGAGCTCTAGTGTGGGGTAACAGGGGAGCAGTCTCTCCAGCAAGGATGAATATCACAGGACAAAGTGTGCTCAGGGACTTAAGAAATGCCTGCAAATAAATGTAGAGGGACAGCAGGGAGGCAAGGGACCATCAGTATCAGCTGTGGGAGGAGATGCTGCCTTTTTAAAGTCATTGTTCTGAAAGCTCTCAGCCACTTCATCTCTAGCAGAGAACACCCAGATCTTGCTATATGAGGGTCTTGCCTCTCCCTGAACAACCACACACACACTGTCAACTTCATCTTCATTCCACATCGCTCCAGTTGAAGGATGGGAAATGGTTTAATGGTCTTTCTGCCCATTAATTTTCTTAAGCAATGGAAGAGATTGTTGTAAATGTGTCTGTGTGCTTTGATAAAGGAATAAGGTTTATTCTGACAACTATGATTTCCAATCAGCATAGGAGATGGAGTAGAGCATCAATATTTTGTTTTCTTCCCATCTTTCTAATGTCAGTTTAAAATACTCAGGGCAACAAGGAGTTACACTCCACTGAACTAAGTTTCAGAGAATATTGAAGTGAATATGGTAACTAAAACAGTGTATATGAGTAATGAAGGACTATAATCCTAAATTCCATGTTCTTCCTGAAATGTTGTGTGAAAGAAGTTGAACAACATCCCACCATCAAAAAATCCTCTTACACCACAATAGTTGGGTGTAAGAGTGCTATTCAAAAATTGGAGGGAAAAAAACCTTTAAATGCAAAGGAAGTTTGTGGTTGAGTTCTGCTTATGTTTGTTTTCATTCTGGTATTTTTTGTTCTGCATCAGTCTAACAATAAAGTGTCAAAAGTTCACATTACAAGTATAACACTCTCTCAGAGTAACTGCATTTACCCCCATGCTGTATCTGCTTACACAAAGATACTTCAAAAAGCAGAGTTTTATCCTACAGCTTCTGCCTTTAGTGAGCTGAAGGCAAAGAAATGCATTGCTAGAAATGGTTTGTCAGACTTGAACGTCTCCTTTTTCAGTTTTCCGTTTCAAAACTGATGGAATAATGATTGTTGTGAGTCAGAGGAAGTTAAGGCACGACGGTTTGCCATTTGAAAGAGTTATTTGGCTACCTGTAATGGAGCCTGGAGGAGGTTTCATTGCACAACAAATCAAAATATCACAACGAAATGGAAAATGAGATGTGTGAGAAGGTTGTGCTGCCTTCCACCTTGGCAGGTTTTGCCGAGCCGCGTGTGCTGCAGAAGGTGCCTCACGCTCTGCTCTGCACGGCCATCCTCAGCCTGGCACCGACACAGCTGCTGCTGGGACCAGAAACAGCTCACACACAGGCACCAGCCTCTTAATGCTCTTACTTCTGCATTGCCAGCCTCTATTTTTCTTCCCTTTTCTTGACATTTTCTGTACCTCCCAGCTGATGTGCCAGCTTTGCCATTTGCTAAAGGTCTCAAAGGATTCCATATCTGTGCTTTCTCTCTGTGCCACTTCTCATTTACTTAACCTTGTGCATTTTGGACCCTGGAATGATGTCAGGTCCAGATGTGAGTTTGGGGGTGTGTCACTTGGGCTGCTGCCTTCTCATTTACACCCACCCTTCCATTTGTACCCTGCTGCACTTCTGCAAGAACCTGATTTACTGATCAGACCTTCATCATAGCAAAATAAGCATTGTTTCAAAGGTGACTTTGATGTTATTTCCTGCTTCCAAAAATTTTATTTGAAATACCCTTTTGAGCCATAAGTCATTTGTAAGAAGGGGGGAGCTTTGAATGAGATCCTGACTGAGAACTTCTAAAAGCAACTGATGTGGGGTAAGATTTCCTTAAACTAAGGTTGAACAACAGCTATCAGGAAGAAATTATTTGGATAAGTGGAGTTGGAAAAAAACAGCAATTAGGTGACTCATGAGATGCTGTCACAGATGTTAGTGTAATCTTAGTACTGAGTGTTCCTAGGTACTGAAAAAATAAAGATATATTTTTTGTTAAAAAGATACACAAGTGTATGTTTGTATGCATCTATATATGTCTGTATATTTTAATGGTAAATTATGCAAAAGCATGTGTGTTCAGATCAATACATAATGGTGATGGAGTAGACCTTAGGCTTTATGTCTAAGTTGGAACCTCTGTAATAAGTAGCACTTCCCCCTTTTACATGATAGCAATGATTTGTACGTTAATCTGACCAAAGGACAGGGAGCAATTGACAAATTTGTATTGCTCTTCTGAAAGTAAATCAGGAATGCTTTTTGACATTTATTACAAATGGCATTTCAATTGATTAAGGTGAGCAGAGTTGGGCACTGGAGAATTTTGCACTTACTTGGCTGACACATTGCTCCAAACAAGTAAGAGCTCTTCATTATTACTTTTCCTATTCTTCTCATGTCACTATGGTAATTGCAGTGCAGTGGTTGCTATAGCAAAAATGATTAATCCTCTGTTGTTGTTATCTCTGTGCTCACAGAGGCTTTTTATAAGATCTGCTTGTACTGTCTTTATAGGAAATCATAGATGTTGTCTAGAATCCTGATAAATACTTGCAAATATAGAGAGTTTTAATAATTGTCATTTAAAATACTGGGAAAATGTTGTATTTTTAAAGAAATTTAAGGATTTTGATAGGACAATCTGAAAATTACCTTTTTTTTTTATTAGGGAGGAGATGAATGTGAGCCATGTTATGGACACACAAACCTGCTGTTTTCTTGTTAGTATGGAGATTAATGACATATGTCTTTTAAGTAGTGACTCAGAAACAATTAGCACAAATATTGTGCAGTTTACACAGTCCATTAATTCATTTTTACAGGAAGTTAATGTCATAATTACTATTTAACTGTGATAGGTTCAGTTGGATAACAGAGTTTGATAGATCATCCTTTGATCTAAGAACATAAAGTTGATTAATCAGTCATTGATTTTGCTTAGTGAAGGCAAAGAACTTTATTGTGGCCTGAACAGAAAGACTAAAAATAGCTTTTTGAAATCAAACTGGATCATCCTGCTCATGGTGCCCTCATAAATAAACACAACTTCTCCAAAATATAAACACTCTTTCTGTTATTTCTTTCTCTCCAAGTCTTTGTTAGGACTTGCATACAGTGAGATATTTTTGTCCACTTAGCTTTACATGTAGTTCCCAAACTGTTCCCATTTCTGAGGGGGAATACTGGTTTCCCATATTTTGCCAAAGTCTTTCACGTGCTGCTGACAAATGCTGGTATCTCCTGCGAAGAAGAATTGCTGTTGCCTCACGTTAAGTTTTGTCCAAGGGGCTTGTACATTAAGAATTACTTTGCTTTCTTTCCAACAATGAATTTGGAGGAGTGGTGCATGTGCCACCTGCTTATTCATTCTCTCTTGAACAACTTCATCTCCTCACGGCTGAGTTTTTCTTTGGCAGCGATC